TGCCTCCAAGTGCTGGGACTAAAGGGGTGTGCCACCAAGCCTGGCCCTTGTTTTTCAAAAACAGGATCTTGCTCTGTGGCTCTGGCTAGCATGGAACTTTGTAGCTCAGGCTGTTCTCAAACTCCCAATGACAATGATCTTCCTTCCTCAGCCTCCTGAGTGGTGGGATCAGATGCAAACTTTAAAGTGTTTTTGACTCATTGTTTGGTTAAATCCACAGGTGCAGATCTGGAGGATATGAAGAGCCTCCAGTATTTTTTACCGTAGTTTCTGAACATTATGCCTTCTTTGTCTTTATTCAAGTGGTAGATAAAATTATTTAAGAAAAAGGTAAAAAATAGAGCTTTAGGGCCAGGAGTGTGAATGTGCAAGTGTGGAGGCCAGAGCTTAACGGGTGTTCTCAGGAGTGGTCCACCTTATTTATGAGACAGAGTCTCTCACTGGGGCTTGGGGCTCGGTAATTAGGCTATGCTGGCTAGCCAGCGAGAGATCTGCTTGTCCCTGCCTCCCCAACCCTGGGATTACAAACAGGCACCACCATGCCCAGCTTTTTACATGGGTGCTAGGGAGTCCAGTCCTTATGCTTGGCAGGCACACTTTACATCTCTCAGCCTCATCTGTTAGTTTGCCAAGGTCTCAGTTCTGCAGCTCAGGCTGACTTTGAACTATATAACTCAGGCTGGCCTTGAACTCACGGCAATCCTCTTGCCTCAGCTTCCCAAATGCTGGGACTAAAGGCATAAACACCCTGCCCAACTGTGCTTTTCATTTCTTGAAAAGGCATGAAGTTCACAACACTACTGTCAGAACACCATGCCACTAATTGGTGTTGCCCATGGTTTTGTGCCTTTTTAAATTTTTTATTATTTTTATGTGTATTGCCTGCATGTATGTAAGTGTACCTGTGTGGTGCAATGCTGGTGGAGGACAGAGGAGGCCTTTGGATCCTCTGGAACTGGAGTTATGGGCAGCTGTTAGCTGCCATGTGGGTACTGGGATTCAAACCCAGGTCTTCTGCAAGAACAGTGTTCTTAACTGCTGAGCCATCTCTCCAGCCCCTTGTGCTGCTTTTAAATGGACCCTTTTTTAAACATTACCTAAGCTGACAGCCTCAACTCCTTCCCCCAGAGCACTGTCCACTGTTCCCCACTCCCACATATTCCCTGGTCCATGTTGTGACTCTGCCTTTGAGGAGCTGTCATTTCACCAGAGCATTATTTATTACTTTTACAATGTTCTGTTTAACCTGTCTCCCTAAAAAGATGATACAAAGCTCAAGACATTTCCTGGAGTAGACTTGAGACGAGAAATGGATAGAAATAAGACCTGATGGGAACATGAAGAATTCTCTGGCTTTTCCTTCAGTGCCACAATCCCAGGACTCCTTCCAAAAGGCCCAGCCAGAGGTGATGGGGCAACTTAGCGTCTAAAGGGATGCCAGGTGAGTGTGGGGGAGCAGGTATGGCACTGAGAAAATACTCAAAATGATGCAGGCAAATCTTCAAAGCCTACTTTGATTGCAACAGTTACCCAGGATATGTTTTGCTTTTAAGCTTACCTGCAGTGTTTGAACAGAGGGCCCCCTAAACATGAGGAGAAAGGACACAGAAGGTGAAACAGATTCCAGCTTTTGCTGTGTCAGCACTGCGGGATCTGTAGCTAAGCACACAAATGCATGGACATATAGGCATGTGTAGCTGCTTGACATTGCTTGAATTGGAAACAGAAGCATTGTTACTTCATGTATATATACATATGTACACACATGTATACATTGGAGACTTGTTCCTTTATCTCTGGCTTGCCTAGAACTTACTATGTAGACAAGGCTAGTCTAGCCTCAGCCTCTGCCTCCTCAATGCTGGGCTTACAGGCATCAGACTATCATGCTCAATTATGAGCTTTTATATCAGAATTGGCTTGCACTGCTAAAAGAGCTTCTTGGGCTGGAGAGATAGTTTGGTGGTTAGGACACATACTACACTTCCAGAGGACCTGAGTTCAGATCCTAGCACCCACGTCTTGTGGCTCACAGTCACCTGTAACTCCAGCTCCAGGGGTCCTACACTGTCTTGTGGTCTTTGCATATACCCATACACACAATTAAAAAATAAAACCTCAGTCAGGCATGGTAGTACATTCCTTTAATCCCAGCATTTGGGAGCCAGAGGCAGGCCGATCTGGTCTACATAGTGAGTTCCAGGTCAGCTAGAGCTACAGGGAGACCATCTCAAAAAGAGCAAAATAATAATTAAAATGAAATAAAATCTCTCGGTGTGGTGGCACTTGCCTTTGGTCACAGCACTCAGGGAGCAGAGGCAGGTGAATCTCTGTGAGTTTTAGAGGCCAGCCAGGGCTACATAGTGAGATTGTTTTAAAAATAAAATTAATAAAGCACCCTTTGAGGCTAGAGAGATGGTTATGTAGTTAAGAGCACTGGCTGCTATTGCAGAGGACCTGGATTTGATTCCAGTAACCACATAGTAGCTAACAACTTTCTGTAACTCCAGTTCTTGGGGATCCAATTCCCTTTTGGCCTCCTCAGGCATTGCACACACATGGTGTACTTACATACATACAGGTGAAACACTCGTACCCATAAACATAAATTTTAAAAATTAAAAATAGCTTAGGATAAGAGCACTTGCTCTTCCACAGGACCTGGGTTCAGTTCCCAGCACCCACATAGTGGCTGGCTGTCTTCTTCCAGTCTTCAAGGGCACTATATGCATACCAGTAAACATATCAAACATCAAAACATTTGTACAATTAAAAATATATTTTTTTTCCCAGTCTTTGAAACAAGGTCTCCCTGTAGCTGCAGCTGGCCTGGATTTGCTAATTGAGACCAGGCTGGCCTCGAACTCACAGAGATCTGCCTGCCTCTGCTTCCACGCCCGGCATAAATCATTTTTTAAAAATTAAAAATAAAGGGCTGGAGAGATGGCTCAGTGGTTAAGAGCATTGGCTGCTCTTGCAAAAGGCTTGGGTTCATGGTGGCTAAAAATCATCCATGACTCCAGCTCCAGGGGATCCAACACCCTCTTCTGACCTCCTCGGGAACTGCACGATACAGGTGCACCTACTTAGATGCAGTCATTACACTCATACACATTAAATAAAATTGTAAAAGTATTTTAAAAAATAGCAGGCTTTGATTTACTCTTCTATCTACAAATACCCAGATTCTTCACAAAACCTTAAACTACCAAGGGCTAAACACTTCCCTCAAGTGCCTTTTACCTTAACTCATCAGTTCTTTCCTTTCTCCTATCTACCTCCGTTAAAATATCTTGCCAGGTGTGGTGGCACACACCTTTAATCCCAGCACTTGGGAAGCAGAGGCAGGCCGATCTCTGTGAGTTCAAGGCCAGCCTGGTCTACACAGTGAGTACCAGGACAGCGGGGGCTACACGGAGACCCTGTCTCAAAAAAAGACCAAAAAAAAAAAAAAATCTTATGTGGGCTGGAAATGTAGCTCAATGGTAAAAGCACCTGCCAGGCATACATGAGGCCCTGGGTTAAAATAATAAATAGTGCAATACTGCATCAATGATCAGATAGCACAATCACTTTTAAAGAACTGTACTTGAAAACACATAGAATCAAATCCGGAATCAAGTCTTTTTTAAAAAGTATTATTTTTATTTTATGTGTATGAGTATATTGCCTGCATGTATGTAAGTGCACCCGTGTCATGCAATGCCTGCAGAGGTCAGAAGAGGGCTTCGGATTCCATGGAACTGGAGTTATGGATGGTTGTCAGACGCCATGTAAGTGCTGGGAATCGAACCTGGATCCTCTGCAAGAAGACCACTGAGCCATCTTTCCTGCCCACAAATCAGTCTCTCTTCTTTTTTTGGACTCCACAAAATTGTCTTCTGACCTCCACATGCATGTAGGGACAGCTTCTTAAATAAACTACCACACTTAGGACCAGTAGAAAAATTACTAGTCTCCAGCTCACCCCAGCAATCCCAACAAAGCTTCCCCTTCCTTCTTTGTTCGGAGCAGCCTGCTCTCTACCAGTGTGGTAATTCCTCTCCCTCAGGAAAAGCCTCTCCCATTAAAGCTTTGCCTGTGTGTTCATCCTCCCTGGCTTCATTCATTTCTATTATCCTTAGAAGTTCCTGTATCCAGCATCACTGTATCCAGGCTTTTTTTTTTTTTTTTTTTTTTAAAGAACATCCACAGTTGTTCCTCTTTATTCTCACACACCCAAAGTGTTTGGGGAGGCCATCACATCAGGGAGAAACAGTATAGTGGGATCCAACAGCACAGTTAAGATGCTTGTTTTTAAACTATTAATGTTACTGTCCATAAAAATAAGTAAGCAATAAGGCCAGGCAACGTGGTACATGCCTTTCATCCCAGAACTCAGGAGGCAGAGGCAGGTAGATCTCTGTGAGATAAGGCCAGTCTGGTCTACATAGCAAGTTGTAGGTCAGCTGGGGCTACAGGGAGACCCTGTCTCCAAAAAATCAATCAAACAAACATAATAAGCTAGACATGGTAGCACACACCTTTAAGCTTAGCACCTGGGAAACAGAGGCAGGAGGATCTCTGTGTTCAAAGCCAGCCTGGTCTATATGAGTTTCAGGTCAACTAGGGCTATATAGTGAGACAGACCTTGTCTTAAAAAATATAAATTGGGCCAGCAAGATGGCTCAGTAGGTAAAGGCACTTAGTGCACAAGTTTGATGACCCAAGTTCAATTCCCAGAACCCACACAAAGGTGGAAGAGAACCAATTCCACAAAGTTGTATTCTGACCTACACATACACACACACTTAGAAGTTTTTAAAAATACGTAATAAATTCTGTTATAAAAATATTCAATAAGCCGGGTATGGTGGTACATGACTGTGATCCCAGCACTTGGGAAGCTGAGACAAGACTGGCAGGTTTGAGGCCTGCCTGGACTGTAGTGTGAGATCCTGTCTCACCCCCTACTTTTTCTAAAGAACTCCAAATAAACAAAATCTTTTAAGAAAACTGAACAGACTGAAATAGGAAATTCTATTTTAGTAACAAACTACAATATAACTGTAGTTGTTGGTTAGGTTCCACTAATTGTTTTTAATTCTCTTGGACTTTTTCTCCTGGTCTTCTATTATGTTCTCTGCAGGTCGCTTCTTCAATCCCTTCATTTTCCTGGTTTGTAGTTTGCTTAGGTCTTGCTTCTGCATATGAATCTTTCCAAAAGTTGTACCAAAAGTATCCTGAGAGATATTCTTCCTCTTCTTTGGCTATAAAACAAGGGAAAATACATGTGTATACATGTAATTTTTTAATATGGCCTTCTACTACCATGAACTGGTGATAATCTGGCAGACTCTCTTGGTAACAATTTCTGTTAGTGAGGATTCTCTCAATGAATAAAGTGTACAGCTGTACACACCTTTCTTCTTAAGGATGTACTTTTACTTGATTTTAAAACAATCTAAAGCTGGACCTGATGGTACATGCCTGCAAGCCAAGATTTAGGAGGCTAAAGGAGGAAAATCATGAGTGAAAGTCCCCTAGGCTACAAGCCAGAACACATTTTATGCATTATGTTTATATACATAGTGTTCTATACCCAGAGCCTTCATGATGGCCAACTTATTCTGGTTCTGTTTGTCTGTTTGCTGCAAATAGCAGTCTTGGCTACCAGAAAACTGTCAGCCAAACTTGATGCCTGGTTTCTGCAACTCTTTATTATCCTTAATGACTGGACAGGTTGTTCCTCCTTTTCCTGGCTCTGAGCCTAATTTTACCTGTTTCATTCATCTAAGTCTCCTAATATCATATGCCACAAATCCTTTCTGGAAAGAAGAGTGGAATATAGAAATAAACACAGCACTACATTATAGGCTATATACCTTGAGAGCTTTGGGCATTTTCATAGATAACTTATAGAGATCATCTGATGCAAGGTGTGTCCTCCTGAGAACCAGATCCAACGAAGGTCCCATCTCTTCCAATTCAATTCGTGGAGTTCTACAACCAGATTTCTTCAACAGCAACCTTTATGAAAAGGAAAAAAGAAATGCTGTTTTGATTTTTTCAAAGTTCTCCCTCCAAAATATTCCTGTTGAAAGGGTTTCAAACAGTGACAGTTACAAAGGCCAAGCTTCTTAAACACTTTAGACATTATGCCAAGTGCATTCTCTGGTTTATTTTTTTTTAAATCAGAAATAAAATCATGCAGTGTTTCTGAGAAACAATATAAGAATAATTTTCACTGGGGGTAGAGTTCAATGGTAGAATACATGCATGTTAATATGCACAAAGCCCTAAATTTGATCCCTAGCACCAGAGTAGCTAGGATTAAGCATGTGCCATTGCCTCTGACTTCTTCCCCTGCCTGGCCTGAATCTGTGGCAATCCTACCTCTTCCTCCCTAGTTCTGGCCATCATGCCTGGCCTGGTTTCTTTCCCTTTATTTATTAAACCTTTAACAGTGAAATCCAATAAAATTATATTAAATTAAATAAATAAAATAGAAAAATGAAATCCAGAACTTTTTAAATTGATGTAATTTTTCTATAGGTTTAAAATTACTTAGAAGAAAAACAAACCAAACACTGACTCTTCAATGTCTAATCATATGATGGGTCTCTTGCTTTTCTCTCAATAAAGAACTCCCATTTCCCTTCTTATTTATACAAGTACTGGTGGGCCAGACAATAGGCTCCATTTACTATCTGAAATAAACTGAATTTTCTTTTATAAAATTAATATTACATTCTTTGTACTAATATATTTGCTTTTTATTTAAAAGGATTTATTTCTATTTTATGTATATGAACATTTGCCTACATGAGTGCCTGGGTGCCCGTGGAGGCCAGAAAGAGGGTGTCAGATTGCCTGAAACTGAAGTTATAGACAGTTATGAGCCATCATGTGGGTGCTGGGAACCAAATCCTAGAAAGAGCAGCAAATATTCTTAACCACTGAGCCATCTCTCCAGGTTTGCTCTTTTAATGCTAACTTAAAGTTATCAACTGTTAATCCTTTAAAATTGACTTATTTCTTGTCATAGAGAAAGGTATTTATAAAGAAATTGTAAATGGGGGGGTCTGGAGAAATGGGCTTTCATATTTGTAGCCAAGTATCTATTGTCCAGAATCTAGAATCATCTCAGATTTTAACCTTTCTTTTCCCTCTCAAAGTTGTACTGTTTATCTGGCATAGTCCTGGTCTTTGGCCATGTTAGGCAAGCACTCTACCACTGACATATATATCCCTAGCCTCTAAGCTCTAAATCAAGATTGACATTCAGGCCAAGCACAGTGGCCTACACCTTTAATCTCAGTGCTTTGGAGGCAGAGGCAGACAGACTCCTGTGAGATGAGGCCATTTCAAGTTCTAGCCAGCTTGGGTACAGAGACCCCATCCAAAACAAAACAATGAGACTGGTACAAAACCCAAACACAAAGACAGACAATTCAATTGCTTCCCTATTCCTGATTCTCTCCTTACACGTCTCCTTGGCTGACACTGTAATGTTGTTTTCATTATGTGAACTCTCTGACTGGAAAGTTATGTTTGCTTTGTGAGATAAACTTGTTACTATAGCATATATAGGAAGAGGTCAATGAACACTGATTATTCAACCAAAAGGACATTTCAAAAGCTGTATAACATAATTTCATGTTCAAGCTGGGCATTATGGCTCATGCCTATAACCCCAGAACTCAGGATGCAGGGGCAAGAGATTACAAGTTTGAAGCCAGCCTGAACTATATAGTAAGTACTAAGCTCAGCCAGTACTATTTAGACTCTGTTTCTAAAACAATCAAAAATCCTATTAATTTCATGTTCAAAGATGCTTTGATTCAAGAAGCACAAAATCATTTAATCTCAGCACTTGAGAGGTGGAAGCAAGAGGATCAGGGCTTTAAGGCCAGCCTTGACTGTGTAGCAAATCCAAGGCCACCTGGGGTACATGAAATCTTGTCTCCAAAAGATGAAACAAAATTTCATACTAGGGTTTCTGATTTTTAAAATTCCAACATTCTTTTCATTATGAATGATTGCCAGGCTAACCTAAAAGTGATTTCCTCAATCATATTCTATGGTAGACATATGAAATTACAGTGAAAATTTATTCTTGATCTTCATTTTTTATTTGAGACAGGGTCTCACTGTGTAACCCTGGCTAGCCTGTAACTCCCTATATAGACTAGGCTGGCTTCAAACTCACAAGACATTCAGCCTCTGCCTCCGAGTGCTGAGATGGGCACCACCACTTCTGGCTTATCCTTAACTCATATGACAGATTGTATTTGTGTGTATACATGCTGATATCCTTCCTCAGTGCCATCCACCTTGTTTTTTGATACTGTCTCAGGCAGTCTGGGCATGAGCTTTACTCCTAAGCTATACTTCCCAGCCTCTAACACATTTTTTTCCTGGTTTTTTTTTTTTTGGACAGCGTCTCATATAGCCCAGGCTGGCCTCAAACTCCTGACCCTCCTGCCTCAATCTCTAAGTGCCAAGATTACAGCCATGTGACACCACACATGGCTAACAGTCCTGAAAGCTCCAAAATCAAGTGAGAAAATACAAATAATAGTCTTAGGGGTTTTTCAGTCTAAACTAGCTAAAAATAATATAAACAACTAATTATATCTCACAATCATTAGATAATAATTTTGCCTTATTATCATTTTACCTTTTTTTTGGGGGGGGGGGTCTTTTTTGAGACAGGGTCTCCCTGTAGCTCCAGCTGTCCTGGAACTCACTATGTAGGCCAGACTGGCCTTGAACTCACAGAGATCCACCTGCCTCTGCCGCTGGGATTAAAGGTGCTGGGTGCTAGGTGCTGGGATTAAAGGTGTGTGCCACCATGCCTGGCTATTTTAATTTTATGTAGTACTGGGGATCAGACCAAGAGCCTTGGGCATGCTAGGCGAGCACTCTTCCACAAAGCTACATCCAAAGGCCCTATTATTTTACTTGCAATGAAAGGAAAATAGAAAACAGAAATGGTACTCCTAGGCATATGACCCAAAGGTTATAAGCATCTCTGATTCAGAGTTGAGACCAAGATAAAAATGACTGACAAGTGTGGTAGGAATGACTGTTTTGGAAATACCTTCTGTTACAAATGAGAATCTTACCTAACCATGTAACCAAAGTTAATATGATCTTTTGAGAACATTTAACACTATCTTAGCTTTTTTATAGTGTAAACAATCTTACTAGACCTTGGGCTCCTCTTGTAAGCTAAACATACAGTTTTAATCCCTCATGACCCTTCACTGTCTCTGACCCAGAATAATATGTGTTTATGAATGTTGTGAAAACCTAAGCAGCAAATATCAGTTTACGTTACAAGCAACAGGTGGGATTAGATTAAGAGCATCTGTCTGTGGTTGTTTATGCTACTCTGGGTCAGTAGGGGTCAGAAGGGGAAAATCCTCAGATATGAAAAGGTTCATTTCTTTCCCATATCATATTGGATATACTAAAAATTTTTTCTTAATTGAAAAAATTTTTATTGAATTTTTGTGTATTTCATACAGAATATATTAATAATCTTTATACCCCCTTCCTCATTGGGCCCCTCCCATAAATTCATACATTCTGTCATTTGTGTTAAGGCCTATCATGTCAAGTTAGTGTCCCCAGATGTCCCTCAGTGCAAGTTCATCCACTGAGGTCTAGTTGGCCTATCTAGAGTCCCTCTCTTTAAGATCAGTTCTTCCTCACCCAGCAGTAATCAGCTACCAGCAATTCTTCTACTAAGATTGGGGCCTACTGTCCATTTCCACAGTTCTGTGCCAGGTTTTATTTTTTTTGGCGGGGGGTGAGATAGGGTCTCCCTGTAGCCCCAGCTGGCCTGGAACTCACTATGTAAATCAGGCTGGCCTCGAACTCAGAGATCTGCTTGCCTCTGCCCGGCTGGTGGGTGATCTTTTTGATGTGTGTCTATTTTATTGAGAATTTTTTAAAAAAATATTTTATTATTTTTATTTCATGTGTATGGATGTATATTGCCTACATGTATGTGAGTGCACCCGTGTTGTGCAATGCCGTGGAGGTCAGAAGAGGGCTTCGGATTCCCCTGGAACTGGAGTTAAGGATGGTTTGTAGCTGCCATGTGGGTGCTGGGAATCAAACCCAGGTCCTCTGCAAGAGCAGTCAGTGCTCTTAATGGCTGAGCCATCTCTCCAGCCCCAAGGGTTTGTTGAGAATTTTTGCAACTATGTTCATTAAGGACATGGGTCTATAGTTTTCTTTTTTGGTTGTGTTTTACCTGGCTTTGGTACTAGAGTATTGCTGGCTTCACAGAAGGAATCTGGGAGCTCTCCCCCTGTTTCTATCTTTTTGAATAATTTAAGTAGTATTGGTTGTAGATATTTTATTTTACATATTTTATTTCATTATTTTTGGTCTTTTTGACACAGGGTCTCCCTATAGTCCCAGCTGGCCCAGAAGCCACTATGTAGACCAGGTTGACCTTGAACTCACAGAGATCTACCTGCTTCTGCCTCCCAAGGGCTGGGATTAAAGGCATGCACCACCCAGCCCAGCTCTGTATATCTTCTTTAAATGTCTGGTAGAATTCTGCTATAAATCCATCTGGGTGTGGGCTTTTTTTCAGTTGGGAGGTTTTGTATTACTGTTTCAATTTCCTTATATGTTATGGGTCTGTTTAAACTGTTGATCTCTTCTTGGTTTGGATATACTGTTTCAATAAATACAAAGCAAGTTTTTTGTTCAAGCGAACAGTTCCAAAAGAAATCTGTAAGAAAAAGTTCTCCGAACAAATGAGGCTCACTCCTGGTTTTAACCAATGCCAAGGGGTCAGGCTGTCTTTGTTCATATACATCTCTCCACCACAGACAAATGAGGTAAATATTTAGTTTCATTTGGATATTTTATTCTATTTATTTTATTTTTATTTTTTTGAGACAGGGTCTCTCTATAGCTCCAGCTGCCTTGGAACCCACTATATAGACCAGGCTGGCCTTTATCTCAGAGATCTAACAGCCTCTACCTCCCAAGTGCTGGGATTAAAGGTGTGTACCACCATGACTGTCTGGACATTTTATTTTTAAAAAACAGTAAAAGGGGGGCTAGAGAGATGAGATGGCTCAGCAGTTAAGAACACTGGCTGTTCTTGCAGAAGACCCAGGTTTGAATCCCAGCACCCACATGGCAGCTAACAACTGTCTGTAACTCCAGTTCTAGGGTCCTCTTCTGTCCTCCGTGGGCATTGCACAACACATGTGTACTTATATACATGTAGGCATAACACTCATACATATAAAATAAAAATCATAAAATATTTAAAAAAAAAAACAGTAAAAGGGATACTAACCTTAAATGGCACAACTTTAATAAAAAGAAATGTGGGGGGCTGGAGAGATGACTCAGCAATAAAGAGCACTAGCTGCTCTTGCAGAGGACTCAGGTTCAATTCCCAGCACCCACATGGCAGCTAACAATCATCTGTTACCTCCAAATCCAAGAGAATCCAGGGCCTTCTTCTGATCTCCAAGGGCACTGCACAACACAGGTGCATTTACATACATGCAGACAATTCCACTCATACAAATAAAATAAAAATAAATTAAGCATTTTTTAAAAAAATAAAGAAATTAATTAAGAATTAATTAAGAATTAAGAATTATTTTTTTAAAAAAATAATTAATAAATTAATTTAAGAAAAATATCTGGCTGGGAATGGTGGTTCACACCTGTAATCTCGGCACTTGGAAGGCTGAGTGGGGAAGACTGCAAGTTTGAGGGCTGCCTGGGGTACACAGTGAGCTCAAGTTCGGCCTAAGCTACATAGAGATCCAGTCTCAAAAGAGAACAAACAAGCCAAACAACAATAAAAAATCTGCTTGTCAGGATCTATATTTATGTTACTATTGTGCTGAGGTTAGGGTAGAAGCCTAGACTGTAAAAAGAGGGAAAAACTAATGTTAGTTATTAGTTCTTCCCTTTTAGACTAGTTTTCAAATCTAGAATTTTGACATTTGTTTTGGCTGGGCTGACGTGTGGCTTAGTGCTCTAAATCCAGTCAAAACCAATTAAGAAATTATCACAGAACTCTAGGAAGGGTGATTACTAAGCATTCCAGGCTCATGAAAGAGGGCAGCACTAGATGCGCAGGGACCCTGGAAAAGTAGTTTCAGAGACAAAATTTAGCAGGGGAACAGAGGGAGGATCAGCATAGTGCTGCAGCTACTACGAGCTGTAAATTAAAAACCTTTGGGTAGGAGCCAATTCTAAGTGAGTTAGAGTAAAGTGCTAGTCCTAAGGATTAAAAAAAAAAAAAGAAACCACACTAGGAAATGTACTTACTTATAGCTTCGAAAGTAAACCTTCCCATTCAGTGCAGTGAAGTGCAAAACATACTCCAATCCAGCCAATCGGACGTTTGATACCGTGGGGCCTCTGAAGAAATCTGAAAGCAGATTCAGTTATTTAAAAACAAAGTTCAAATTTTAGTAATAAAGAGCTATATTTTAAAAAGTATTTTTATTTTATATGTATGAGTGTTTGTTTCCATGTATGTAAGTGTACTATGTTTGTGCAATGCCCAAGGAAGTCAGAAGAGGACATGGGATACCCTGGAACTGAAGTTGCTGGTCGTTATCTGCCATGTGGGTGCTGGGACCCAAACCTGGGTCCTCTGCAAGAGCGGCCAGTGCTCTTAACCACTGAACTATCTCTCTAGCCCCAAGAGCTACATTTAAAATTTTTTATTTGGGGCTAAAGAGATGGCTCAGCGGTTAAGAACACTGGTTGTTCTTGCAGAAGACCTGAGTTCAAATCCCAGCACTCACATGGCAGCTAACAACTGTGGTAACTCCAGTCCCAGGGGATCAGACAGCCTCTTCTGACCTCTGTGGGTATTGCATGACACAGGTGCACTTACCTACATGCAGGCAATACACATAAAATAAAAATAATACACATAAAATAAAAATAATAAAATTTTTTTATTTGTGTGTATGTACATACATAAGCACACAGATGTGTGGGTACACATGCACATGCATGCTGAGGCCAGAGGACAACCTCTGGTGTTGTTCCTTAGGCACTGTCTACCTTTGTTTTTTTGGCTTTTTTGAGACAGGATCTCACTATATAGCCCCAATTGACCTGGAACACTATGTAGACCATCTCCAGACTTTCCTGGAACTCACTTTTGTGTGTGTGTTTCTGAAACAGGGTCTCCCTGTAGCCACAGCTGGCCTGGAACTTGCTATATAGACCAGGCTGGCCTTGAACTCACAGAAATTTGCCTACCTCTGCCTCCCAAGTGCTGGGATTAAATGCATGCACCACTATGCCTGGCCCTTCCCTTTTTTTTTTTTTTGAGGCTGGGTCTCTCACTGGCATACAACTTGCCAAGTAAGCTAGGCTGGCCCAGAGTAAGCCTGTCTCTGCCTCCCCAGCAATGGGATTTTAAGTGCACATGCCACCACATCTGGCTCTTTCTTAGTGGGTTCCAGGATCAAACTGAAGCCCTTAACCAACCTCTGGGTCATCTTTCCAGCTCTACTTTAGTCCTTTTTTTGAGACAGAGTGACAATTAGTGGTGTCATATTAACCTCATTTACCCTCAAACTCACTATGAGAATGCTCAAGAATTCCTGATCAACTGCATACATCCTGAGTGCTAGAATTAAATGCATCCCCCAAAATGAACATATTCTTTGCTTATAATCAGCTTTATATACAAAGAACAGTCACAAAGAACAGTGATCATAAAAATTAGGACAAACGCCAAGCGTGGTGGCCCATGCCTTAGTCCAGCATTTGAGAGGCAGAAGCAGGTGGATCTCTGTGAGTTCAAGGCCAATCTGGTCTATATAGTGAGTTCAAGGCCAGGTGGGGCTACAGGGAGCCCTGTCTCAAAAGATCCCCTCCTCCCCCAAAATTAGGACAAACAAAATATAAAAATCAGTTATATATGCCGAGTGTGGTGGCGCACGCCTTTAATCCCAGCACTCGGGAGGCAGAGGCAGGTGGATCTCTGTGAGTTCAAGGCCAGCCTGGTCTACATAGTGAGTTCCAGGACAGCTGGGGCTACATGGAGACCTTATCTCAAAAAGACCAAAAAATAAAAATCAATTATTTACTCATTTTCTATGAAGAAAAGCAGTTCCAGGCCAGCAAGATAATGGAACTGAAGGCTGGGTGTGGTGGTGCACGCCTTTAATCCCAGGGCGAGTTCTAGGCCAGCTATAGGGAGCTTAAGGAGACCCTATCTCAAAAAAACCAAAAAAAACAAAAAGAAGTGGAAGGAGAGAACTAACTTCACGAAAGTTTTCCTTTCTCTGACTTCCACTCCCCCAACATCACATACCATGCACACTCGCACATACACACATAAAAAAATAAATTTTTTAAAAGGCAGGAGAGAGAGGGGAAGGGAGGGAGAGAGAAAAAGGGGAGAGGGGAAGCAATTCCAGAACTTGGGGTATAATTTAGTGACAGAGGGCTTGCCTAGCATGTATAAGGTCCTGAGTTGATCCCCAGCACCACCACAAAAAGAAAAAGAGAAAGAATAAAGAAGCAGTTCCCAGTACATTTATTGTGCTATGTTTAAGAGATAAGGAAAGGGTCCAGAAAAAGAAAACCCTTTATTAATTTCATTCCTTACTGATTTATGGCATGCACTGACCACACATGGGACAGCTGTCCTGTAAGGTATCACAAATGGCGTCATTGTCATTTTTCTGTGTAAATATGTTCACACACTGAGGAAATCATGTAATGACACACTTTTCAGAATATATGCCTATCGTTACATGACACATGACTGTATTTCATTTGAACACACAGCACACAACAAGCAGTGCTGTATGTATTTATACTGAAAACCTAACTTCCCTTGGTGACCAACACTCTCACTCCATTCTTCTACTTTCCCCAGGTTTCTTTGCCAGTTTCATTCCCTTCCCTTATCACTGCTCTATGTGGTCTTTCATGCCATCTAGTGGAGGCACAGAATAATGAGAAGTCAAGGTTTGTAAGACCTAGTCAACACTGATGTGGCACTCAATTATAATCCTGTGTAAACCCAGCATGTAGGAACAAAGGCAGAAGAACTGCTGTAAAGAGAGTCCAGGTTGGACTACAAAGACCCAGTCTCAAAACACACACACACACACACACACACACACACACACACACACACACACACACACACACACAGGAGAGGGAAGGAGGGGAAGGGGAGAGAGGAGGGAGGGAAGAAAAAGAGTCAAAGCCTTACATGGTGGTACATGGCTCTAATCCCAGTACTCAGAGGCTGGACTGAAGAGCAAGAACCAGTCTCAAAAAATGCTCTTGAGTTGGTATAGTGGCTCATACCTATAATCCCAGCACTTGGGAGGCTGAGGCAGAAGTACTGCTCCAAGTTCACCAGCCTACGCTGCATAGTGACACCTGTCTAAAAAAACAAAAAGGCGCGGGGGGGTGGGTGGGGGTGCGGATGGACTGGTTCTCAGAGAACACTGCACTGTAAATGGAAAAGCTCAATCAACCCCCAAAATGCCCATCTTCCTTGCTAAGAAAGTAACGAACAGGATAGAAAAGGAGCAATACATTTAATGAAAGACTTGTCTTAATTTTCTTTTCTTTTTAAATTTTTATGGTACTGGCACTGAACCCAGGCCGACATACTGTTTATTGAGACAGGATCTCACTCTATGTAGCCCTGGCCTGCCTGGAACTTGCTATGTAGATGAGGCTGGCCTCCATCTTACAGAGATCAGTCTGTTTCTGCCTCCTGAGTGCTGGAATTAAAGTTGTGTGCTACTACACCTGGCTGTTTTTGTTGTTGAGACAGTGTCATGTAGCCCAGGCTGGCCTCCAAGTTAGGATGACCTTGAACTGCTGATCCTCCTGATTTATCAGTTCCAGGGGAATCCCAAGCTGTCTTCTGACCTCCGCAGCATTACAAAACATGGGTGAACTCACATACATGCAGACAATACACTCATACACATAAAATAAAAATAATAAATAAAATATTAAAAAACAAATTAGTTCAAATTGTTTTTTGAGAAGGGTCTCACTATGTAGCCCCAGGTAGCTTCAAACTTAACTCTGTGGACTAGGCTGGCCCACATCTCACAGAGATCCACTTGCCTCTGCCTCCTGAGTAATCCCAGATTAAAAGCTAGGATTAAAGACATGTGCCACCATGCCTGGCCCAAGGCTCTATCTTTGAAAATACATATGCATTTGAAAGGAGACAGCCTAAATAGAGAATGCCACTAAAGAGGTTAACTACTTTTTTGTTTTATTTTTTTGAGGCATGGGTCTCACTGTGTAAACTGGTCTGCAACTCACTAAGTAGATAAGGCTGGCTTCTGAACTTACAGAGATCTGCCTGCTTTTGCCTTCGATGCTGGAATTAAAGGTATGTACCACCTCACCAGCTTCGCTATTCTTCTAAAGCGACTATATACATAAGATTTCTCTAGGATCTGCCTAGAGATACTGATATAAATGTGTACAATGAGGTCAGACTCCATATCCAGCTGGCAGAACTTGACAGCATCGTCCACATGGTATTAATTTTGCAGGCATGAAAGATCCAAGATTGAAGGGTATCCTACTTAGTTTTAATTGTCAACCTGGCATAGCCTAGAGTCATCTGAGAAGGAAGTCTCAATTGAGGAATTTCCCATATCAGATTGGCCTTTGAGGACTGCCTGTAGGAGGGCCAAACCCAATATGGGTGGCAACATTCTCTGGGAAAGTGATCCTAGACTATATAAGAAAGATAACTAGGGCTAGAGAGATAGCTCAGTGGTTAAAAGCACTGACTGTTCTTGCAGAGGACCCAGGTTCAATTCTTAGCACCCACATGGAGGCTAACAACCATTCATAACTCCAGTTTCAGGGGATCCAATGCCTTCTTCTGACCTCCACCAGCACTGCACAACATGGGTGCACTTACATACATGCTAGCAATACACTCATACACATGAAATAAAAATAAATATATATATATATATATTTAACTATATATATATAAAGTTAATTAAATGCCAGGTGTGGTAGTACAAGCTTTTAATCCCAGGATGCAGGAGGTAGAAGAGGATCTCTGCAAGTTCAAAGACAGCCTGCTCTAGGCCAGCCAGGGCTACATAGTAGAACCCTGTCTCCAGAAAAAGAAAATAAGAAGTAGCTAAGCATGAGCCCATAAGGGAGCAAGCAAGAAGCCTTCCTCCATGGTTTCTGCTTCAAGTTCCTGCCCTGACGTCCTCAATGATGGACTACAACCTGTAAGGTAAAATAGGCCTTTTCCTCCCCTAGGTAGCCTTTGGTCATTGTGTTTGTCACAGCAACAAAAGGAAAGTAGAGGAGCTGGAGAGATGGCTCCGTGGTTAGAGCACTGACTGCTCTTGCAGAGGACACAGGTTCAATTCCCAGCACCCACATGGCTAACAACCATCTGTAATTCCAATTCCAGGGAAATTCTATGCCCTCTTCAGACCTCAAGGGCACTGTATGACATAGGTGTACTTCCATACATGCAGGCAATACTCATACACATAAAATAAAAAATAATATTAAAAAAAGAAAAGGAATCTAGTCGTGCGTGTGTGTGTCATGAAACTGTGCACCATGGCTCCAGAGACGCTGAGGCCAGTCAATATGTTGCAGAGTCAGAATCCCTAGGAGGCTATATGAAGTTGTGAAGGTAAAGCCTAAGTTGCAATGGAGATCCTAGGATGTTGGAGATGCCAGAACCATGGGACAGCCACCGAAGAAAGCTGCACATAAGCTGGCCCTATTAGAACTACAGGTGGCAAAGCAGGAGGGAAGGGGGCTACCCAAGTCCTTTGGAACCCAGATTCCATCACAAGCCCCTGATGTTGGACATGGAGCTGCAGAATTTAGTGTTGTCCCTGCTGGGTTTTGGTCTTGCTTTGGTCCACTCATTCCTTGTTATGCCCATTTTTCCCTTTTGGAATGCGAATGTTTAATCTGTACTATCTTATCTACTGGAAATGTGTAACTTGTTAACTTGTTTTTTTTATTTTATAGGATCTCAGTTAAGAGATGGCCTTGAGCTATGCATGGTGGTGCACACCTTTAATCCCAGCACTTGGGAGGCAGAGGCAGGTGGCTCTCTGTGAGTTCAAGGCCAGCCTGGCCTACATAGTGAGTTCCAAGCCAGCTGGGGCTACAGAAAGACCAAAAAAAAAAGAATGAATAAAAATAAATTAGGGATGACCTTGAGGGGCTGAAGAGATATGACTCAGCAGTTAAGAGTATTGGTTGCTATTGCAGAGGACATGGGTTTGATTCCCAGCACTCACATGGCAGCTAACAACTGTCTGAAATTCCAGGGGATCCAATGCCCTCTTCTGACCTCTGTAGACCTTGCACAATACAGGTGCACTTACACACATGCAGGCAATACACTCATACAAATAAAATAAAAATAATAAAAATTTTTTAAAGTGATGGCCTTGAGTGTCCAATAAGACTTTTGCTCGTTTTTAAAACTGAACATTTATTATTTATGTGTGTGCACAGAAATGTGAGCACATGTGCATGCTATGGCACATGTGTAGAGTCCTAGGACAACTTGCAAGACTTGGTTCTCTCCTTCCATGTCATTCTGGGTCATCAGGCTTGGCAGCACGCACCTTTGCCCTCTGAGGCATCTCAACAGCCCAACTTCAGACTTTAAACAATGTTGGAACTGTAAAGACTATGGGGTCTTTTGAAATGATTGTTTTCATTTTGTCCATCAAACAGATGAATGGATAATGAAAATACGGTATAGATATAAAATGGTATTTTATGTTGCAAAGAAAAATGAAATCATGACCAAGTGAAAATGTATGCATGAGGATTACTATGTTAAGTAAAATAAGCCGGACTCAGACACCACATTTCTTTCACATGCTGAATCTGGATTTAAATTTGGTGTGTGTGTTCATATGTATAGGCTTCTGCGTAATAAAACTAGAAAGGAGATCTTATGGGGAAAGAGAGGGTAATGGGATACATGTCACATGAAAGCAGAGGGGGTGAAATAGGACCAGCATGAGGCAAAGGGCCCAGGAAAGGCCACTGGAGAAAGGGATGGAGAAGAACAAACTATGGGAGCTGGAGAGATGGGTCAGTGGTTAAGAGCACTTAATGCTCTTTCAGAGGACCAAAGTTCAGTTCTCAGCACTAATGTTGGGTGGCTCACAACCACCTGTTAATTCCAGCTAAAGGGGAACTCCACACCTCATACACCTGCATGCACATACCCACACATATACACAGTTTTAAATGAGAAGTAGCCAGGTGTGGTGGCCTTTAATCCCTGCACTCAGGAGGCAGAGGCAGGCAGATCTCTGGGAGTTCAAGGCCAGCCTAGTCTACATAGTGAGTTCCAAGCCAGCTGGGGCTATGGGAGACCCTGTCTCAAAAAAGGGAGGGCGTGGTGACCTAACACCACAGAGGCAGAGGCAGGTGGATCTCTGTGAGTTTGGTGAGTTTGACACCAGTCTGGTACACATAGGAATTCCAGACCAGCCAGGGCTAAACAGTAAGATTCTGTCTTAAAATAAGTAAAAAAAATAAATAATAGCAAGACATTAACAAAAGGGGGGAGAGTAGGCAAAAAAATAAATAAATAAATAAAAAAAGAACTGTATACTCAGCCAGAGTGAAATGGCAAAGAGCCACCAATGAACAGTCCTGTATAGAGAATACTGAAACACTTACCAATAAGAAGATTTTTCAGTCTTCTATAGTCTTCTGTTACATCAAAGTCATCACCAGCAAATATTAACAAGGGTTTGGTGCCCTCAGGGCATTTACTATTCTACGAGATTAAAAAAACCAAAAACAGTGGCACTGTAATTATATAATTATCAAAATCTCAACAACTTATATGACAGTTTTTAGGGCAGCCAATATATATTAAAATAATCTTCACATTTTTGCTCATACTATCTTTTTTTGTTGTTACACCCACCTATTTTATATTTGATTATAACTGAGGAACAAGAAAATCATTGATTTGACAGACCAAAAATGTCACTTAAACCCACGTTTTCTGCCTCCATCTCTAATTTGAGGTCATTCTGCCTTGAACCCAAGGCTGTTATACTGACGGACCAAACAGAGATCTAGTATGAGCTTTTATAAAAACCCATAGGATAAGGATATTAGTTAAGAATTCTATTAAACCTTGAAGGTCTGCCCTGTTTACAGGAGGGCTGAGGAAATGAGTAATATACACTTACTACAAATCCTTCAACCATACCATGAACCTCAAAAACTCAGTAACTCAGCTGGGCACAGAGGCACAGGCCCATAATCCCAGCAACTGAGAGGCAGTTGCAGGAGAATCAGGATTTTAGGGCTAACCTTTGTTATATATCAAGTTTGAGACCAGTTTGGGTGACATGAAACCCCATTTCAAACAAAAAGAACCCAAGGGTCTAGAGAGATAGTTTGGCAGTTAAGAGAACATGCAGCTCTTATAGGACCTGAGTTCGAGTCCCAGTACCCACATGGCAGCTCACAACCATTTATAAATCCATTTCCAGAAGCTCTCATGCCCTCTTCTGGCCTCTTTGGGCACTTTACATACATGGTACACTTACATACATGCAGGCAAACACCGATACACAAAAAAATTTAAAAAAATATATATAAAAAAAAAAACCCTCAAACCTAAAACAACAAAAATCCCAAAACAAAACAAAAACCCAGTCCAGGTTTGGTGGCACATGTGTTTAATCCCAGCCTGGTCTACATTATTGAGACCTAGTCTCAAAAAAACCCCAAAAGAACAGGGGCTAGAGAGATGGCTCAGCAGTTAAGAACACTGGCTGCTCTTCCAGAGGACCCAGGTTCTATTCCCAGCACCCAAATGGCAGCTGACAACCATTTATAATTCCAGTTCCAGGGGATCCAACACCCTCTTCTGCCCTCCTCGGGTACTGCATAACATGGATACACTTACATGCAGGCATAACACTCATACACAAAATAAAAATGAGTCAAAAAAATTAAACCCAAAACAAAAAATAAAAAAAAAAAAACCACAAAATTATGTAACTTTCCATTACAAACCACAATATTCTTTGTCTCTTTCCACTGAGCCATCTTTCTGGTCCAAGTAATGTATTTGATGGGACAGATTAAGCCAGAAGCAGAATACTGAGGAAGAGGGGTTCCAATCTATTCCCAGGAGCTGAGGTAAGCTGAGCTGCTTTTCTAAGGCTATTTTTATTATGTCTACTTTCTACTTTATAATCCCATTCAAAGTAGTTACAATGCAGTTCCCAAAGGAGGAACTGCTAATAATTTGACAGCTAATAGCCAAAATAATATAATAATATCCAGAGCTTTCTGGTTGGAGAAGCTTAAGTGGAAAACTTTTTATGTTCTATAAAGTAAGTGCTCTGATCATTTGGCGAGATGACCATAGGCTTAACCGAGAACGGAAACAGTCTGAAGTTTAACCTCTACAAGATCTGCATGTGGGGCTGGAGAGATGACGCTCTTAACCTCAGTGGTTAAGAGCACTGGCTATTCTTGCAGAGGACCTGAGTTTGAATCCCAGCACCCACATGGTGGCTAACAACTGTAAGTAACTCCAGTTCTAGGGGATCTGATGCCTTCTTCTGACTTCCATGAGCATTGCATGACACAAGTGCACTTATATACATGCAGGCAATGCGCTCAAACACATCAAATATTTTTAAAAGATCTATATGTATTATATGTTATAAATATATTCCTCTAGGATAAAAGCAAAATAAAATTTTATTTTTACATAAAGTTCTTTTTCTACAAAATCCTATCAGTAATTCTTAACCACAAGATGCCAATATTGGCCAAGAAAAACATTATAAAGTGCTCTTTAGTTTTATTATCAGTATCTTACCTTAATATCTTTTAGAGACACAAATTTCTCAATACCTAATTCAATCATATCCAGCACATGGTAGTCATACATACGACCTAGAAGGAAATGCATATTTAAGCATTTATGTTCCAGTCACCTTGTATGTTACCTGTATGCCCAAAATTATCTGCCTTTTTTCTGTCTTTTTAAACTCACTCTACCATGCTCCTTCCTTAAATTTTCACCTTTACCTAAATTGTATTGTTAGGATATTAGCCATGGAAAAGAGTCTAGGGAATGTTTAGCCCCTAAATTCTTTATTTTATAGAATAAATGGGGGGAGGGCTGGGTGTGGTGCCCTGCACCTACAATTCCAGCACTGAGGAGGCAGAAGGATTGAATTCAAAGCAAATGTGGACCAAATACCAAGTCTAAGGCCAGACTCCAGATAGTTAGCAAGACTACCCAACAAATAAACAAACAAACAAAACAAACAAGAGGCTAGAGGTATATATTGGTGGTAGAATGCTTAGTATGCATCAGGCCTGGGATCAAACCTCAGCACTAACACACATAGGGGACTAAATCCCTGATAAACAGACAGGGCTACTGCTACTGCTGAGTAATAAAGAAGGCACACTTCCAGCTTCTTGTATGAGACAAAGACCTGGCAGGCTGGCTGGTTTGCTCTTCCTTCCTTCCTTCCTTCCTTCCTTCCTTCCTTCCTTCCTTCCTTCCTTCCTTCCTCTTCCCTCCTTCCTTTCTTTTCCTTTCCTCCTTCCTTCCTTCCTTCCTTCCTTCCTTCCTTCCTCCCTCCCTCCCTCCCTTCCTTCCTTCCCTCCCTTTTTATTTTATTTCTTTTTAGGGGGGGTGGGGTTGTTTTATTTTGCTTTGAGACAGGGTCTCCATGTTCCCGCTGGCCTGAAACTCACTGTGTAGACCAAGATGGTCTCAATCTCACAGAGATCCATCCACCTACCTCTGCATCCCAAGTGCTGGGATTAAAGGCACGTGCTACCTACCACCTGGCAGGCTTTTTCTCCCACTGGTTATACCCCCTCCCTTCCAGCTGAGAACAGTCCAGACCAGTTAAGATAAAACCAAGGCCAGTCTTGGACATTTCTCAGCTTGGAGCTGTAGCTAATGGGCTCTCTCTTATTTGTTTAAATTGGCAAATCCAAAATTGGGGAAGGGGACCCACCAAAAACACTTAAAAGACTCAAGCCCTCCTGGGGGCTTTGGATTTTTCAGTTTCTGAATCTTCTCTCCATTTGTGGAGATCCCCACCCCCATATTTCTTTATTTTTGTTTGTTACCTATTGCTCTCTGCTGTGAGAGATTTTTCCCATCTTTTAATTCTTTAATTGGCAAAGGAAACGAAGTCTATCAAGATCTCTAGGTAGCAACACATCCATTCCCCCAAAGCCAAAATATATGAAGGCCAACAGGCAGTAAAAGGCTTGCCTAAGGCTGGGCATGTTAGATCAAATCTCTATATATCTAGGCAAACATTTCCAAAATACATTCATTCAACAGATATCAGTTAGGGAAGATAGGCTGGTTTTTTTCCTAATCCTAATCTCAACATATATGTATTTTATGTTTTTTAAAAAACTACAACTTAAGGTAAGACCATTTTTCCCCTCAGTTTCAGCTAACCTACTAGAGAGGGGAGATCAGTAACAATTTAAGTACAAGGTAAATGGTTAAATCTGATTTTACAGTGTGAAATCTCCATAACTGAATATGGAGGTTATTGAGAGTACCAGGACCCCATCCTTCCTGTTTAAAAAACAGACTATAAGGTAGCTGTAGACATGGCTCAGGGGATAAGAGCACTGGCTGCTCTTTCAGAAGACCCGGGTTTGGTTCCCAGCACCCACATGGCAACTAACAACCATCTGTAACTCCAGTTCCAGAGGATCTGACACCCTCATCTGGTGTCTGTGGGCACTGCACAAGACAGGTGTACATACATGCAAGCGAGGTACACTCATACACATAAAATCAATCAATCAATAAAAAAAAAAAAAAGCCACACTCAGAAGAATAATAACCAAGGAACCAGTTCATATTCTGACCTCCGTGGATTGACAGGGTACTATTTATATGCCCTATTCTTGGTAGTGATTGGTAGACAGAAAATTTTGTAGTGATGCTAAGATTCAAACTCAGGTCTTTAAGAAGCTCTTCCACTGAGACATACCCAGTCCAAAAACAGAATTTTACACAACGGCATAAGGCTGAAACAACGTAAAACTTCTCTAGAGCTAACTGGTTACTTTAAAGAAAAAAACCAAAACCCCGAAACACTGGTTACCCTTGACTCCTGAACAGCACCTGAGTCAGAGCTGACTCTATAAACCATACTCACCTATTACCAGATTATTTGGCCGCTTCTTGTTATGGGAACCAAACATGAATAAAGAACAATCTGACTTCTTTGAAAAGAACTCCTACAAAACCAAAGAAAAAAATCTTACTCCAAGTCCAGTATGGTGGTTCACACTTGTTCTTTGATTTTTTTTTTTTTGGCCTTTTTGAGACAGGGTCTTACTGTAGCCCCAGCTGGCCTAAAACTTGATATGTAGACCAGGCTGGCCTCAAACTCAGAGAGATCCACCTGCCTCTGCCTCCCAAGTGCTGGGTGGCTCCAACTTGTAATTTCACAATTTGGAAGGCTGAGGCAGGAACACTGCTGTGAATTAGAGGCCAGCCTGAGCCAGGGTTAAATGACAAGACCCTGTCTTAAAAACAAAAACAAAACAGCCAAAATAACAAAAAACTTACCTTTGAGCTTAGAAAAGGATAGCAGGGTGCCCCCCTCCAACAAAAGCTAATAAAGACGTAACAATACAAAAATATGCAGATGAACTGAGAGAAGCAGAGGAAGGCAGACCTCTGTGAGTTCCAGGTCAGCCTAGTCTAGAGTTCCAGTGTAGCGGGGGCTATATAATGAGGCCCTAGCTCAAAAAAAAAAAAGGCAAGTAAAAATGTAAGTAGCTTCTTTAGCTTTTTGTTTTGTTTTGTTTTTGGTCTTTTTTTGAAACAGGGTCTCCCTGTAGCCCCAGCTGTCCTAGAACTCACTATGTAGACCAGGCTGGCCTTGAACTCACAGAGAGCTGCCTGCCTCTGCCTCCCAAGTGCTGGGATTAAAGGTGTGTGCCACCATACCTGGCTCCTTCTTTAGCTTTTAACCTCAAAATTTTTCTGTTTTGGGGTACCAAGGCAAAAGAGGCACATAAAAATATACAGAAGTGCTGGATGTGGTGCCTTCAATCCCAACACTCGGGAGGCAGAGGCAGGTGGATTTCTGTGAGTTCGAAGCCAACCTATATACATAGTGAGTTCCAGGCCAGCTGGGGCTACAAGACCCTGTCTCAAAAAGACAAATAAAAAGCAAGTAAAAATATACAAAACCTGAGGTTAATGCATGAAACAAGACCACTTATGCCCAGCTAACGCAGTACTTCTGGAGCAACATACCAAGTGTTTCATTTGCTGGATAAATCCTTTACCTCGCAGAACATCACTATTATCAATGGCATATCTTGGCACACCCAGGGGAACTACAGAAATTTATCAACTCAGTGGTTCTGGATGTTTATAACTGAGCTCAAAAGTTTACAGTGCATATTGCTACTTTTCACACCAAACTGCAACCAACCAAGGCTCTAGCTCTAAAACCTCCATGCCACCACGGCTATAATTAGTTCCATGTTGTGTACCTGGCTGGGTGGGACTAGCTGATAGATCAATGATAGTCCAGTATAAGAACTACATTTGAAAGTCGGGAGTGGTGGCACACGCCTTTAATCCTGGCAGAGGCAGAGGCAGAGGCAGAGGCAGAGGCAGACAGAGCTGTGTGAGTTGAATGCCAACCTGGTCTATATAGAGACCCTGTCTCAAAAAGACCAAAAAAAAAAAAAACAAAAAAAAAACCAGTAACAAACTAGGAGTAGAGCATGAATTAGTCTGAATAGTCATTTCTCTTCTTGCCTTGTTTTTGTTGGCTTTTCTTTTAAGGTCTCATTATGTAGCTCTTGCTGGCCTAGAACTCGCTATACGGACCAGGCTGGTCTTGAACTCAGAGATCTGCCTGCCTCTGCCTCCTGAGTGCTGGGATTAAAGTTGTACTTCACTACACCTATTTTTTTAAATGGTGCTGGAGATGCAGCCTAGAGTCTCAGGCATACTAAGGCAAACACTCTAATCACTGAGCCAACACACCCAGTCCTGTCTATATATGCTCTCTTAAATAAGAAAAGATTTCTGGGCTGGGTGTGGTGGTGCACACCTTTAATCCCAGCACTCAGGAGGCAGAGGCAGGCAGCTCTGTGAGTTTCAGGCCAGCTGGGGCTACAGGGAGCCCCTGTCTCAAAAAGACCAAAAAAAAAAAAAATTTTTTTTTCTTAGAAAAAATAAGGAAGATTCCTGTACTTACCAATGATGTCTGATCCTCAAATGGCCTTGTAATATTTTTCCTAGGAATGTTAAAAAAATGATCTTGATTTTAATAATGCTGGTATTCAATTAAATGATATGCTGAATAAAAGGTAATTTTATATTGAGATGACTAAAACAAAACCTGGAAAGACATTCATTCATTGAATTCATTTAGTGCCTAGTATATAGCAGACACCTGTTTTTTAAGCTAGAGATACTTCATAAAAAATTGTCTTCATGGAGCTTATATGACAGCAGAAAAATAAATTCAAATGGTAGTGAATACTATGACAAATCACAAGGCACTATGTTACCATGAAGGGTAGTAGAAAATGACAATCTGACCTGAGACTTGATTAAAGAAAGGATTGGCCATATAAAATTTTTGAGGTTAAGATTATTCTAAGTGGGAGCACACAAGATGCACACTTAAAACACTCAGAATGTGCAAAGGGGCTGGAGATACAGCTCAGTAGTAGAGTACCTGCCTAACGTGTTCAGGCCTTTGGATTTCATCTCTAGCACTCCTACCAGAAAAGTACAGATATCCAGACACATAGCTTGGACTGTTTAAGCAACAGCTAGAAGGCAAACACTGCTGGAAACGAGTGAGCAAAGGGGATAATGGTGGGAAATATCTAAGACTGAAGCAGAGCATGGAAGTATACACCTGTAACCCCAACATCTGGGAAGGCATAAAGATCAGGAGCTCAAGGCCAGCCTAGGCTATATGAGACTTGGTCTCAAATCCAAAACACTAAAAACCAAAACCCGAACAAACAAACATGATGTACACTTAAAACACCCAAATTATATAAAGCCTTATGATTCAAAGTAAGGAATGTAGATTTTGGGGATGGACAGATGGCTCAGTGGTTAAGAGCACTGGCTGTTCTTGCAGAAGACCCAGGCTCAAATCTCAGCACCCACATGGCGGTTAACTCCAGTTCCAGGGGATCTGATGCCCTCTTTTGTCCTCTTTGGGCACTGTATGACACGGGTGTACTTATACTCATGCAGGCATAATGCTCATGCACATAAAATTTTAAAAAAAAAGAATGCAGAGCCGGGCACAGTGGCGAACACCTTTAATCCCAACACTTGGGAGGCAGAGGCAGGTGGATCTCTGTGAGATGGAGGCCAACCTGGTTGACATAAGCAAGTTCCTGGCCAGCTGGGGCTACAGGGAGACACTGTTTCAAAAAGACCAATAAAAAAAAAAGAGAGAATGCAGATTATTTATATGAATAATAATGGAAAAAAGTGATATGGTAAGATTTAAATTTTCTACTTTTTATTTCTTATTAAAGGATCCGTCTGTGTACTATGAGAATGGTCCATATTGTGATAAAACAATACAACCAATAAAATAATGATAGTATTGTATTAGAACACTAAAGACTATATTAAATTGATACAAGTAACTTAAAAATAAGAGACAGGCCAGGACATAAGAGTGCACACGTTTAATCCCTGCACTCAGGAGGCATAAGCAAGTGGATCTCTGTGAGTTCCAGGTCAGCTAGGACTACATAGTGAGACCCTGTCTCAAACAAAAGCAGGGATTGAGGGTGGTGGGGGCACATAGATATTTTTTCCTTCAGATTTCCAATTAACACATATAGAAGAAAATGAGGGATGAAGGCAACAGAAAGCCACCACTGCAACATCACAATATATAATCACAACTGTACACATGACCCACTACGGACAGTACAATTAATGGGCAAGCTTTCTGAAAGAAGACACAGATGGTCCTCTGAAACTGTGGGTTTAGCATCCACAGACTCAACCAACTATGGATAGGAAGTATTTGGGGGAAAACTTTATCTGTAATGGACCTGCAGAGATTTCTGGGTTTTGGCATCATTCCTTAATGATGTACCCAGTACTTACACTGCAAAAAACACCACACAGGTTTTTATACTCCAGGGAGTCCTAGATCCACTACCCACAAAATAATGAGACACTACTGTATTTGCATAGCCTCTGCTTAGTCTCTAAGTATCTCCTCTAAATATTTACTACCTACAAAGGGAAAAGGGGTAATTTTATCTAGGATAAACAAGAGCCAAAGCCATCAAAGACAAGGAAAAACTGAGAAAGTTTCACAAATTAAAGCAGACTGGGGAGTTGGGAAGCTCTTGAGATGATTCCACGGGTAAAGCATCTGCTGTGCAAGCCTAACAGTCTGAGTTCCATCCCTGGTACCCACATAAAGGTGGAAAGAGAGACCTGACTCCACAAAGCTGTCCTGACCTCCACATGCACCATGGGACACATGTACCTTGACATCACACACACACACACACACACACACACACACACACATAATACAATTTTTTAAGGGGGGAGGTGCTGGAAAGATGGCTCAGTGGTTAAAAGCACTGGCTGCTCTTACAGAGAATCTTGGTTGGTTCTTGTACCCACATAGCAGCTAACAACTATCTCTAACTCCAGTGGATCCCATGCCCTCTTCTGGTGTTCATGGGCATTACACAACACGAGTACATTTACATACATGCAGGCAAAACACTCAAACACATAAAATAAAAATAAAATTTAAAAAAATGACTAGGAGAGGGGCTGGAGAGATGGCTCAGCAGTTAAGAACACTGGTTGTTCTTAGCTGGGCACGGTGGCACATGCCTTTAATCCCAGCACTCGGGAGGCAGAGGCAGACGGATCTCTGTGAGTTCAAGGCCAGCCTGGTCTACATAGTGAGTTCCAGGACAGCTGGGGCTACAGGGAGACCCTGTCTCAAAAAGACCAAAAAAAAACAAAAACAAAAACAATAAAACACTGGTTGTTCTTGCAGAAGACCCAGGTTTGAATCCCAGCACCCACATGGCAGCTAACAACTGTCTGTAACTCCAATTCCAGGGGATCTGACAGCTTCTTCTGTCCTCCATGGGCACTGCATGACACGGGTGCACTTACCTACACGCAGGCAATACACACATACCCATAAAAATAATAAATAAATAAATAAAATATTTTTTGAAAAATGACTAGGAAAGGCTGGAGATACACCTAAGCGGCACAGTACTACCTAGCATGTGCAAGGCCCCAGGTTCAATCCCTAACATAAGAGAGAGGAAAGAAAAAGACTAGAGAGACACAATAAAAACATGGAATCTAAAAAGAGAAAAGAATCCATCAAGTAAGTCTGTAACTTACTTCATATTACTACAGCAATGTTTACTCACTAGTTATGATAATTGACTATGATTATGCAAGATAAAATATTAGAAACTTGGTGAAAGACTTACAGGAACTCTATTATTTTAACCATTTTTCTCTGCATATGTATTTCAAAATAGAACATACACATACAATTATAGTTCTACAAGAACATTCAATGCCAATAATTAAAAAAAAACTAATATTTCTATGTGAGGAATTATAGCATCTTTAATTTTTTTGGGGAGGGGGCAGGTGTGATGGTGCACACCTTTAATATCAGCACTTAGAGGGCAGAAGCAAGTGAAGCTCTGTGAGTTACAGGCCAGCCTGGTCTACATAGTGAGTTGTTCAGGCCAGGCAGGGCTACACAGTGAGACTCTATCTCAAAAAGCAAAAGAAGCCAGGTGTGGTGTACACGCCTATAGTCCCAGCACTTGGGAGGCAGAGGCAGGCGGAACTCTGTGAGGCCAGCCTGGTTTACATGGTGAGTTCCAGGACAGCTGGGGCTACAGGGACACCGTCTCAAAAAAAGCCAAAAGAAAAAAAAGGTTTTTTTTCTTCCAAGACTTCCATAAACCAAATGTTACTTTTGTAACTGAACAAAATACATAATAATAAAAGAAGTAACTTACTTTTTATATAGAACTCCATACGGTTTCTTCAGTGCATACTGTAAAATATAATTTCAAATTTTCTAAACAAAATATTTGAGAAGCAGAGACAAAAATAAAGCATTGTAACATCTCTACATGGCTGTTCTGGTCCCTGAATACTGGTCCGATGTCTTCTGCATAGCCCCCTTTTGGTAGTTTCCAGTAACTTGTAGCATTAGCCTAACATTTTTAGACTGGACTTCTTTTTTGGTTATTTGTGTTTTTGAGGAAGGGTCTCCCTGTAGCCCCAGCTGGCCTGAAACTTGCTATGGAGATAGGCTAGCCTCCATCTCACAGAGATTCACCTGCCTATGCATCCCAAGTACTGGGATTAAAGGTGTATGCCACAATGCCCAGCTAAACTTGACTTATTATTAACATTTATTTAGTGGGGAGTAGGGGAGAAGTGTGTGTACATACATGCCACAGTGTACACGTGATGCCAGAGGACAATCTGTGGGAACCAGTCCTCTCCTTTCACCATTGGGTCCAAGGAATTACACTCTAACCATCAGACCTGGCCAAAAGTACCTTTCCCTGCTGAGCCATCTTGCTGGCCCTGGACTTTCTAAGTTAAAGATTTCTACACCTTTCAAACTTAAATGATTCCCCTCTCTGTCTCTCTTTCAAGACAAGGTCTTGCTATGCAGCCCAGGCTGGGGCAATCCTCCTGCCTCAGTCCCTCAAGTGCTAGAATTATATGGGCCACCAAATTTGCTACAGGGGGTTGGGCAGGGTTTGGATACAAAACTCAAGCTGGAATTGAACTGTCAATCTTCTTGTCTCTGCTTTCTGAGTTCTAGGATTACAGACATGTGCTACCATGTGTTTCCTTGTCTCTGTGTAAAGAATGTTGTCACCTTCTTTAAAGATTTTTAAAATTTTATTTACTTTTATTTTATGTGTATGACTGTTTTACCTCCATGTATGTAAGTGCATCTGTATGTGCAATGCCCACAGCCAGAAGAGGGTGTTAGATCCCCTGGAATTAGAGTTATAGACAGCTGTTAGCCACCATGCATGTTAACTTTTTTTCTTTTTTTTTTTTTTTGGTTTTTTTGAGACAAGATCTCCCTGTAGTCCCAGCTGTCCTGGAACTCACTATGTAGACCAGGCTGGCCTTGAACTCACAAAGATCCACCTGCCTCTGCCTCCCGAGTGCTGGGATTAAAGGCGTGCGCTACCATGCCTGGCCTGAATGTTAACTATTTTAATAACCTGCAATACTGTGCTGCTCTTATTAACTTACTTAAATGTTTAGGGTCATTGGGATTGAAAAGAGTGATTTCCTATCAATATAAGGACATTCAGACAAATATTTCATAAAAAGATGAGCAAGTCAGCCATGGTGGTTCATATCTGTAATCCCAGGGTTTGGGAAACAGAGGCAGGGGGATGAAGAGTTCAAAGACATCCAGGGCTACATAGTAGAGCTTGAGGCCAGCTTTGGACAACATGAGATCTTATCTCTAAAAAAACAGGGAATGGAGGTACTAAATTAGAGTTGGTAGAGCGCTGGCCTAGCATGCCTATGATCCTAGTGATCAGAAGTGGAAGCAGGAGAATCAGAAGTTCAAGATCATCCTCAGCTATTCAAAGCCAGCCTGATTATATGAGAACCTGTCTCAAAAAAAGGAGGCTGGGCGTGGTGGCCCACGCTTCAATCCCAGCACTCAGCAGGCAGGGGCAGGCAGATTTCTGTGAGTTCCAGGCCAGCTGGGGCTATAGGGAGACCTGTCCCAAAAAGATCAAAAAAGAAAGAAAGAAAAAAGGGCTAGCATATATTAGATATTTAGACATTATAACAAGTCTACATAATTAGTTCGGGTTCAGCCAGGGATACATCATGAGATATGCATGTATGGTTGTATAAAAGCATCAAAATAAATAAAAATTTACTGAGGGAACTAGTTGCTTTAAGGAAAACCAGTAGTCAAATGCCCTGGCAAAGCAAAGACCTCCAATTTCAGCTCTATTTACTTCCCCTTTCCAATGTCAGCTCTTCTCTAAGGCTAGCAGACAACTCATTACATATTTGGCTCAACTCAGTACACTCAAAGTTTCTAAGTACTTTCAACACAATTTTAAAAATATATTCAAACCCAGAATATACAGTGAGACTCTGTCTTTTAAGAAAAAAAGGCCTGGCATGATAGCACTGATCTATAAACTCAGCACTCAGGAGGCTAAAAAAGAAAGTTCAAAAATTCAAAGTCAGCTTGGTCTATACAGGGAGACCTTGTTCCAAATAAAGAGTAAAAGTAGAGCAGGGAATGTAGCTCTGTGGCAGAATACTTACCTAGCTGACAGAAGACACTGGGTTAGATCGCCAGCATCACAAAAATAAACAAAACAAAAGAGTAAATGCAAAACAAGTAGAAAGGTAAGAACCTATTATCCCAGTACTGGAGAGGCTGAGCCAGGAAGATTCTGAGTTAAGGCTAGCCCGAACCACAGGAGACCGTAATCTCCCGGATTCCACATCCACCCACAAACAAAAACAAACAAGTCAATATACGTACCACATCCCTGAGTACTTGTGTTACAGTTGCATTTGCATTTCCACCTTTAATCAGCATGGCATTTTTAATGTTTTCATTGAGTTTGGGTTCTCTCTTCTCAAGGAATCTCTTGGCCCTTTTTGTTTTGGGCTTTCTGTTCAGAAAAGAACAATTCAAATAACAATTAACACATTTTCCTCATATTGTACAACTTGACAAATGAGCAAATTCCTTATTTAAAAAAATCAGCTGCCGGGCTTGGTGGCACGCCTTTAGTCTCAGGAGGCTGAGGCAGGTAGAATTCTGAGATCAAAGCCAACCTGGCCCACATAGGGAGTTCCAAGGCAGCTGGGGCTACATCTCAAAAAGATCAGGGAAAAAAAAAGCCAACCAACAGACATCTCATGCACACATCAATTAGGTTTCAACCACTGGACAAAAACCTCATTTTTAAGGAAAGCTATTTCTTTCTTTTTTTAATCTCAATTTTTTGGTCTTTGAGACAGTGTCTCCCTGCAGCTCCAGCTGTCCTGGAATTCACTATGTAGACCAGGCTGGCCATGAACTCAGAGATCCACTTGCCTCTGCCTCCCAAGTGCTGAGATTAAAGGTATGTGGCACCATGCCTGGCTTATTTATTTATTTCATGTGTATGAGTGTATTGCCTGCATGTAGGTAGGTACACTGGTGTCATTAAGTGCCACCAGTCTTTTGGAGGTCAAAAGAGGGCATCAGATCCGCTGGAACTGGAGTTAACATGGTTGTAAGCCACCATGAGGGTGCTGGGACTCAAACCTGGGCCCTCTGGAAGAGAAGCCAGTGCTCTTAACTGCTGAGCCATCTCTCCAGACCCCACATAAAAATCAGATAAAATAGAATAAAAACAACTAGAAAATATGCTAAGATCCACACTTTTAGTATGAAGGTCTATCTTCAAAATGAACTAGATTTAAAAATCTATCTAGGGGCTAGAGAGATGACTCGGCAATTAAGTGTTTTTTAAATTCTTTTTTAAAATTTTTATTTTATGTATATGAGTGTATTGCCTGCATGTTATGTGAGTGCACCCGTGTCATGCAATGCTGTGGAGGTCAGAGAAGGCTTCGGATTCCCCTGGAACTGGAGTTAAGGACGGTTCATAGCTGCCATGTGGGAGCTGGGAATTGAACCTGGGTCCTCTACAAGAGCAGTCAGTGGTCTCAACCACTGAGCCATCTCTCCAGCCCCAGCGCTTGCTGCTCTTACAGAGGATCCAAGAGGTTCCCAATACCCACATCAACTCAAGGGGATTCCACATCTTCTGGCCTTCATGGGCAATGACATGCACATGGGCATAGTAACACAGACACATACACATAAATTTTAAATTTACTTTTCATTTGCTTTTTTATTTTTATTTTCTTTTGTCTTTTTGAGGCAGGGTCTCCCTGTAGCCCCAGCTAGCCTGGAACTATGTAGCTCTGTAGACCAAGTTGGCTTCAATCTGCCTGCCTCTGCCTACTGAGTGCAGGGATTAAGGGTATGTGTGCTACCATGTCTGGCTTATTTTTAATAAATTATTTTTAATTATGTGTATGTGTGTGTGTGTGTACACATGAGTACAGGTGTCTGAGGAGACCAGAGGTATCAGAGTCCCTGGAACAAGAGTTACAAGCAGTTGTGAGCTGCCAGATGTGGTTGCTGGGAAATCAACTTAGGTCTTCTAGATGAACAGTAAGCACTCTTAGCCATTGAACCATCTCTTCAACCTCACATTAAAACTGTTTTTAAAATGAAACCATTTCTGTTTAAAAAAAAAGATTGGGGCTGGAGGGATGGCTCAGTGGTTAAAGGCACTGGCTGTTCTTGCACAGGACCCAGGTTCGGTTCCCAATACCCACAAGGTGGCTAACAACCATTCATCCATCTTCTGGCCTCCACAGGCATTGCATGTACAGATGCACTTATATACATACACATAAAACAAAAATGAATTTTTTTAAAAAAGAAGATCTTCACTAACCATCCCCCATTAAAGAAAAACAAATTCATTATTCTGATTTTATGGTGTGACAGTAGGAGTAGAATGTTATACATTTCTGTTCAAGAGCAAGGCTTCATTCACCTTTGCCTGATCTATGGTAAAAACACTGCACTTTTCAAACAGGTCTCTGTTACCTATTTACAGAATTCTTCCTCTTTTTAAAAAAAAAATATTTTAGTACTTGGGACACAAAAGCAGGTGGATCTCTTTGAATTCTAGGCCAGCCTGGTCTACAGAGTGAGTTCTAGTCCAGCTGGGGCTACAGGAGACCCTGTCCCAAAAAGACCAAAAAAATAAAAAATTAAAAAATAAAAACAATATTTTATTTATTTTTATTTTATGTGTATAAGTATAGTGCTTGCAGTAGGTAGGTGCACCTGTGTCCTGCAGTCCCTGTGGAGGTCAGAAGAGGGTGTCAAATACCCTGGAACTGGAATTACAGTTGTTAGCTGCCATGTGGATGCTGGGTCCTCTGTAAGAGCAGCCAGTGCTCTTAATCACTGAGCCATCTCTTCAGCCCTCTTCCTCTTTTTTAATAAATGGTTTTATTTATTTATTATGTTTATGAGTGTGCCTGCAGAGGCCAGAAAAGGGTGTCAGATCCCCTGAAACTGGAGTTAAGAATGGTTATAAGCTGCCACATGTGTGCTGGGAACCAAACTTGGGTCCTCTTTGAGAGTAGTCAGTGCTCTTAACCAGTCAACTCCAATTCTTCCTCTCTTAAATAACTATAATCTTCCCTCTTGCAGTTGTAGACACAAGTAGGGAAAGAAAAGAAAAACAGAAAATATACACACTTTAGTATCCCATATACAATTAAACTCTCCTTCACGGCTGATGAGATGGCTCAGCGGTTAAGAACATGCATTGCTCTTCCAGAGGACCTAAGTTCAATTCCCAACACCCATATAAGGTGGCCAGCTACCACCTATAATTCCAGGTCCAGGAGATCTGACACCTCTGGCCCAGCCAATACTAATGTGCACATACAAACACAAACACACACACACACAAACACACACACACACACACAAAAGAAAATTCTTCACCAGGTAAAATGTCACATATAAAGCACCTGGCCATTTACTGGTTGATGAAGATACACATTTTTATTATATGAAATCAAGGCACATAGGGTATCTATAGAGCAATAATTACTATGCACTCTATTTTCACCTTTTTTTTTTTACTTTTCACTTATCAAGAACGAATGTAAATAGCATTTTACTCCTTTAGAGAGGCATAGTCGTGCACAAAATCGCTCAATTAATACTAAAAAGAGCGTCTCATTTATATTACATATTTCCTAAATAGCAAGGAAACAGCAGCAGTTAATATTTAAGAACTCAGTAAATATTTAAGAAACTTAAACATCACTCAAGGATAAACAGAATGTTACAATGTTGGGGAGGAAATGAACATATTGTACATGCTATAGCAAAGGCTACTCTCTTGCAGTTCTATGGTCCACGACTACTACGGTATCTATTTTACAGTGTAAACGGATTTAGGGTAGTTTAAGGGCCAAAGTCACTAAGCTTGCACCGGACTGTCACCTAGCTCTGGTCAGACTCCGAGGCCTGTTCTCTTAACCCTGTCCACCCAAGCCCTCAGGGGCGGGGACAGAAGCAGACAACCGCTCGGACCCTCGGCCCACCCCGCAGCTCCCAAGAGCCGCGCTCCCAGCAGTCGTTCGGCGGCCGGGCTTCATCAGCACGGAAGACGGAGCTGGAGAATCCAGCGGCCCCTCCTCCGGCACGACTAGCAGAACGCATCAAAAAAAGAGCAAAAAGAGAGAGAACGCGACCGAGATCACGCACTGCAACCGAGATACTCTCCCCACGCCGTCCCACCCCACACACTCACAGGACTCGATCTAGAGCGTCCATCGCTACCGGAACCCCGGCGCATACACGTGCGTCGCGCGCTTGCGCAAGAGAGCTTGCGTGTGTCGGAATGGCGGAACCGGAAGTACATAACTGCGACTTCCTGAGACAGCCGGGCCCAGCTGGCTGGCGGCCCTATTGGGTGAGAATAGCGTTCTGTTCCCTTGGTTACACAGTTTTGTTCCGCTTTTAATCCCGATAGTAAATACTGTAAGTGATTTGGTGTGTATCCCTGGAGTGGAGGATTCGGGGGTCAAGTTTCCTCATCAGCGAATTGCCCAGGGTGCTGGAAAGGGTGAAGGCTCGGTACTCAGGTACTTAGATACTGATGTCAGCCACCGTGGTGCCGCACACCCCTTATCGCAGCAGTTGGGCGGCAGAGGCAGATGGATCTTTATGAGTTTGAGGCCAGCCAGAACTAGTGAGCCCCTGTCTCAAAATAAGACTGAAAAAATGCTGACTTGAAATGGGTACTACTGATCTAACCGCGAAATCAAGTGAGGCAGTTTGAGTACAGTTGCCTACTACAAAAAGGTTCACGAAAAACACTGCTGATCATGATCTCCCTTCAGTTTTTTTTTTTTTTTTTGGCATGTAATTTGCATATAGTTATGTAAAATACACCCTGTAATGTATACGATTCGGTGAGTTTTGGTGCGTTCAGAAAGACGTGTAGCCATGAGCCAGGCAAGCCCATAATTCCAGCATTTAATTTGGGAGACTGAGGAGGGAGAATTGCAAGGTGAAGGCCGGCCTGGGCTCGACAAAGATACTGTCTTTCAAAAAATAAAAATAAAATAAATAACCAAGTGTGGTGGTGCATGTCTTTTATATCAGCACTTGGGAGGCAGAGACAGTTGGATCTCTGTGAGATCAAGACCAGCCTGGTTGACAATGGTGAGTGGGGCTGCTGGGAGAGCCTGTCTCAAATAGACAAAAAAAAAAAAAAAAAAAAAAAAAAAAAAAAAAAAGCTCGGCATTGTGCAGGCTTGTCATTAGAGCACTTAACAAGTCAAGGCAGGAGGACATGGAGTTGAAGATTAATAACCATATAGAAATTAGATACTAGTCTGAGCTATGGTAGATAATGTCTCAAAAAAAAAAAAGTGCAACCAGAACCACTATCTAATTTGCAGAATATTTATCACTTCAAATAGCCCCACTCTGGCACTGGCAACTTTTAATTCATTTTATGTTCCATGGATTTGCCTATTCTGGATGTTTGTATTATAACCTGAATCAAAGTGTCATAACTTTGTGTCTGACTTCTTTAACTTGCTAGGTTGGTTTTTTTTTTTTTTTTTTTTTTTTTTTTTTTTTTTTCTCCCTAAGTAGCCTTATCTGGCCTGGCCTGTGTTTTGCCTGCTCAGTGTGTGTAAATGCACCCACGCATGCAATGCCTTCAGAGGCCAGAAGAGGGTGTCATATCCCCTGGACAGTTAGCCACCATGTGAGTACTGGGAACAAAACCTGGGTCCTCTGCAAGAGGAGGTGGTGTTCCTAACTGCTGGTGCATCTCTTCAGTCCAAGATTTAAAAAAAAAAAACAACAAAAAAAAAAACCTATGTGTATTTATGTGTATCATTGTGCATCTGTGAGTGCAGGTGCTCAGAGTCCAGAATAGGGCACCAGATCCCCTGGAGCTGGAGTTGCAGTTGTAAGCCACCTGTCCTGTGTGCTGAAACTGAACTGAGGTTATCTGCAAGAGCCATAGGCATTCTTAACCACTGAGCCATCTCTCCAGCCCCAAGTCCATATTTTTCAAAAGGCATGTATAGTACTTATGAATCTCCCATGTCCAGATAGGGTTTTGTTATTTTCTTAATGGTGCTGGGCATTATACCCAGAGACTCATACATGATCAATAAGCATTCTACCACAGGGCTATACCACAAATCAAGGAGTCATTTTTTTTGTTTGGTCTTTTTGAGACAGGGTCTCCCTGCAGCCTCAGCTGGCTTGGTACTTGCTATGTAGACCAGGCTGGCCTACAGCCAGAGATTTGCCTGCCTCTGCCTCCCCAATGCTGGGATTAAAGGCATGCGCCATCATGCCTGGCCAAGAGTCATTTTTTTTAAATCATACTAGTACTTGGTATTCTATTATTATCTTGGAGTGCTGAAAGGGAAACTCAAGGTCATTTTAGCAGGAAGAGTTTTGTTATCTAACTCATAGTCTAAGACAGTGTCGGTTTTCAGAACCCAATTGTTCTAGTTAGCTTTCTGTTACTGTGCTAAAACACTAACCAAAAGCAATTTGGAGATGGAAAGGATTACTTGGTTTATATGTCCCAATCACAGTCCATCAAGGGAAGCCAAGGCAGGAACTCAAGGCAGGAACTTGAAGGTAGTAACTGAAGCAGAGACCGTGAAGGAATGCTACTTCTTGACTTCCTTCTCCTGGCTTGCTCAGCTACTTTTCTTACTCAGTACAGGCCCACCTGCCAGTGGGTTGGGCCCGCTATTAATTAGTAATCAAGAAAATGTCCCACAGGTGTACCCACAGGCTTCTCTGATAGAAGTAATTCCTCAACTGAGAGTCTCTTCCCAGGCGACTCTAGTTTGTGTCAAGCTGAAACTAACCAGCATGCCAATCTTCTGTCTTGTTTCTCTGCTCCTCAGAGGTTCTATTTGCAAGACTTTAAAATACATAAACAGGAGGCTGGAGAGATGGCTCAGCGGTTAAGAGGACTGGATGCTCTTGCAGGGGACCTGGGTTTGATTCCCAGTACCCACATGGTGGCTAACACCCTCTAGTGGCCTCCACAGGTCCTGCGTGATGCAGGTGCACTTACATACATGCAGGCAATACACTCATACACATAAAAATAATACAATATTGGGCTGGGCATGGTGGCACACGCCTTTAATCCCAGCACTTGGGAGGCAGGCGGATCTTTGTGAGTTCGAGGCCAGCCTGGTCTACATAGTGAGTTCCAGGACAGCTGGGGCTACAAGGAGACCCTGTCTCAAAAAAAAAAGATTAAAAAATAATACTAATAATACAATATTTTAAAATACATGAGCAATACTCTGGTTTCTCTTCAGATCATATAAAATACATGAACACTTCCTGCAATCAAAAGGCTAAAAGCAAGATTGTGAATTTGAGGGTATTTGAGTTACATAGCAAAAATTTGTCTCAAGAGTAGGGGGTGGAGCACAAGATGGCTTAGCAAGTAAGCACTTGCTGCACAAATATGACCAGTTTGATCCCTGGGACCCACGTAAAGATAGAACCATCTCCACAAAGTTGTCCTCTGACCTCCTCACAAACCCTAGCCCCCAATCACACACACAATAATTATAAATAAAACTTTTTTTTTTTTTTTTTTGAGACAAGATCTCAATGTGTAGCCCTGGCTAGCATGGAACTCACTTTGTAGACTAGGCTGGCCTCAAACTCAGAGATCTGCCTGCCTCTGCCTCTTGAACTAAAGATGTATTCTACTATGCCTGGCACAATTATAAGTAAAAAAATTTTATTTGGTCTTTTGAGACAGGGTCTCCCTGTAGCCCTAGCTGGCCTGGAACTTGCTATGTAAAACAGGCTGGCCTCATGCTCACAGAGATCCGCCTGCCTCTGCCTCTGGAATGCTGGGACTAAAGGCATGTGCCACCATGCCCAGCTCATAAATAAAAATTTTTTAAAAGAAAAGGAAAAAATGCTCAGGTAAATAAATTCATTAAAAGAAAAGAACTCATCATAAAAGAGACCCAAAAGTCACCTTAAGTCATATTTTTAAAAATGTAATTCAAACATGGTTTTGCATGATTCTGGTACATAACTGAGAATACACGTATGGCTGACAAGAACAAAACGGTGAGCCGGCCGAATGCTACAGTCAACTATTTTACACAAAACCTCTTTTTAAAAAGTTCATAACTGGCCAATATGAGAAATATTTCCATCTTGAGTTTTCATGAAAACAGAACTTTCTCAGATGAAGAAGTATCAACAGGAGGTCCAGGATGAGCTGTTTCCGAGTGTAGTCCTTTCTCCTGTTCAAACAGCTGTGCACTGTCTTTCATTTGAATCTCTTGTTCTTCCAACTCCAAAGGTTTATCCGGGGCTGGAGCTGCAGCTTCATCTTCATTTTCATGTAGAAAGCTACAAATCATGTTGGGTCTATAGGAGAAATCATTATCCTTCATTTGCAGCCATTCCACCCCGTCTAATTGGGGAGGGGTAAACAGAGGACAAACAAGAAACATAAAATTTAGTTCATATTTTTCTTAATAAACGACGAATGCGAGCAAGGATATGAGGACAGAGGAACCTTTATATACTGCTGATGTAGCTACTATATAATTCAGTGTGGAGACTCCACATAAAAAAACAAAAGTAGGGCTGGGTGTGGTGCACACCTTTAACCCCAGTACGAGGAAGACAGGCAAGGTGGATCTCTGTGACTGAGGCCAGTCTGGTCTGCATAGCAAGTTCCAGGCCAGCTGGGGCTACAGGGAGACCCTGTCTCAAACAAAAACCAGCAAAAAGCCCCACAAAAAACAAAAGAAAGAACTACTATGTGTACCCGAAGTACCATTCCTGGCTATATATCCAAGGACTCTTTTTTTTTTTAATATTTATTTATTTATTTTATTTTATTTATTTATTTATGTGTATGGGTGTTTTGCCTACATGTTTGTAAGCATACCTGTGCATGCAATGGTACAGAGACCAGAGAGGCAGATGGATCCTGGTACTGGAGTTATGAGTTGTACCACGCCTGGCAATATTTATTATTTTTATGTGTATGTGTGTATTACTTGCATGTAGGTAAGTGGACCCGTGTTGTGCAGTGCCCAAGGAGGACAGAAGACACTGTTGGATCCCCTGGAACTGGAGTTATGGACAGTTGTTAGCTGCCATGTGGGTGCTGGGATTCAAACCCTGGTCTTCTCTAAGAACAGACAGTGTTCTTAGCTGATAAGCCATCTCTCCAGCCCCATACCCAAGGACTCGTAAGTCAGTATGCCACGGGGATACTTGTACACCCATGATTATAGCTGCACTATTCACAGCCAGCCTGGAACCAGCCTTAAGATCCCGCAATAGATGAGTAAAGGAAATGTGTGTGGAGGTGGGGTGGGGTGGACACAACTTTGCATACATGAGGCTTCCTGTTTGATCTCCAGTATCTTCACTTCAAAACAGGCATCTTTATTTTTATCTAATTCTGGGAGGGCTGGTGAAACGGCTCAGCTGGTAAAAGTACTTGCCATGCAAGCCTGGGGACCATAGTTGAAGGAGCGAACTGATGTCTAAATGCACACCACGCCACACATCCACTCCCACTCACTCACAACATAATACATTTTAAGGTTGGATATGGTGGCACATGCCTTTAATCCCAGCACTTGGGAGGTAGAGGGAAGCACAGCTCTGAGTTCTAGGCTACCCTGGTCTACACAGTGAATTCCAAACCAGCCAGGGCTACACAGTGAGATGCTGCCTCAAAACAAGGGCGGGGGGCAGTGGGGGAGGGAGACTAGAGAGACTGCTCAGTGGTTGAGAGCACTTGCTCTTGCAAAGGACCCAGGTTTGGTTTTCAGCACCTACATGGTGGCACACAACCTTCTGTAACTCCAGTTCCAGAGGATCCAATACATAAAATTTTAAAATCTTAAAAAAAATTTATTTTTAATGTATAGTTTAACTGAGGTTTTGTACATTTCATACAAAAGATCTTAGTCAAATTTAGACCCCGCCTCCGACATTTGTACCCACCCACAGTCCCCACCGCTGTTATTTCATGCATTCTGTCATATATGTTAAGGCCTACCCAGTCAAGCATTTGTACCCAGATGTCCTTCTGTGAGAACGTTCTAAAGTCAACATGTTGTTTTACAGAAAAAGTATTTTCAAAAAGCATTTAAAAAATGCTTGAGTTCCTTTTGAAAATACAAATAATAATAATTGGGGGCTGGAGAGATGGCTCAGTGGTTAAGAACCACTGTTCTTACAGGAGACCCAGGTTTGAATCCCAGCACCCACATGATTTTTTTTAAACTGTGTGTGTTTGTGTATATTTGTGTCCATGTATCTGTCCACATATGAGCATGTGTGTATAAAGGCCAGAAATGAACATCAAGTGTTTTCCTCAATTGCTCTCTACCTTTTTTTTTTCTTTTTTGACAGGGTCTCCCATAGCCACAGCTGGCCTGGAACTCACTAGGTAGACCAGGCTAGCCTTGATCTCACAGAGATCCATCTGCCTCCCGAGTGCTGGAATTAGAGGTGTAAGCCACCACACCCAGCCTCTACCTCATTTTCTGAGACAGGGTCTCAAACTAAACCTGGAGCTTGCTGATTTAGCTAGACTGGCTGGCCAGCAAGCCCCAGGGATCCTCCTTGTTTGCACATCTCCAAGTGCTAGGATTGAAGGCACAGGCCACTGCATGGTGCTGCAAGTCCTCATGTTTGTGCAGCAAGTACTTTATCAACTGAGCCATCTCCCCATCACCTACAACAGGTATCTTTACACTGTGAGTGATGGTGCATGCCTATAATCCCAGCACTAGGGAGGTAGATGCAGGAGGATCAGAAGTTCAAGGTCATCCCAACCAGGCCTATGAGAGATCCTGTCTTGAAAGAAAGAAGGGAGGGAGGAGGAAGGGAGGGAAGAAGGAGGGAAGGAAGGAAGGAAATGTGGTACATATACACAATGGAATTTATTTTGCTAAAAGAATTATTAAACTGACATTTGTAGGAAAATGGATGCAACTAGAGACCATTATGTCAAGCAAAATAAGCCAATCCAGAATGACAATAGCATGTTTTTTCTCAGATAGGGAATCTAAATTTAGAGTGTGTGTGTATGTGTATGTGTGTGTGTGTGTGTGAGAGAGAGAGAGAGAGAGAGAGAGAGAGAGATGGAAGTAGAGAGGGGCCTAAAAGGAGGAAGAAGGAGAATCTTATTAGAGGGTAATGTAATACATGTGACATGAAAGCAAGAGGGGAAACTATTGGCCTTGAACACTTAGCAGTCTTCCTGTCTTGGCCTCCCAAGTGCTGGGATTTTAAGTACGAGGCAGCTACCACACCCAGCTTAGTGCTCAACTTTAATATATTAAACATATTACATATAGTTATTTCTACAAAGTACAAATTATATCCTGATAGCAGTGTGTCACTGTCAAAGCCAACGCTAAGATCTCTCTCTCTCTCTCTCTCTCTCTCTCTCTCGTTCGCTTGCTTACTCACTCGCTCTGTCTCTGGTGTGTGGTACTCAGGATTTGTTTTCAAGGCAAGGTTTCAAGTGGCTCAGACCTTCGTTGCACTTGCCTGAATCTGGCCTTGAACTCCAGATCTTCAGCTGCCTCCACTTCCAAAGTGCTGTAATTCCAAGCGTGTACCACCACATCCTAGTGGTCCTGAACATCAAACCCAGGGCTTCACACATACTAAGCAAAAACTATACACTGAGCTACATCCCCAGTCCAAGATAACCATTTTCAAAGAATTAAGTGAACAAACCTATGTTTTCTTCTCCTTCCTTCTTTTCTGTCAGAAGCGTTCTTGTCATGCTGAGCTTCTTCATTGTATGGCATTTGTATTTCAGCACTGTTTTATCATTCCCTTCTGGATCCACTAGGACATAAAATAGTCTTAATTATTACACTGCCTAATGCATCAAAAGATGATGATGAAGTTCCTCTTTAATAATTCCAATCTAGGGAGTTACCTTCCTATCAAGACCGTACTGTAAGTTCAAAGTATGATTCCTCCTTCTATTCCAAATGCAGAGAAATGACAGATAACATACTATCACTGCTATCAAAACCAAACACCTCCAAGAACAGAAACATTAAGCAATGAAATTGGAGCCATAGTCTTAAGCCCTAATACGGGAAACTGGGGTTAGGAATTAGCCCACAGGGTAACGGGGTCTACAATTTTGCCTCTGAAATGAAACACCAGAATCAGACAGTGGGCCTAACCAAGAGGAGGATGAGGCTTTGAGCCAAAGATGGGAAGCACTGGAAACTTCCACACCCTGCTCTGTTGAGTGTAAGCTGATTCTACACGTTAGAGAGCAGCATGGTGATATCAATTTGAACTATATAAAATTCAGCCATTGTTGATATTCAGTCAAACTGGAAATTTCACATGACTCAAGTTGCTAGTAAAGCTGAAGATAACACACATTCATCAACTTCTCCCCCACCCCCACTTTCCTTTTTGTGCTGGGATTATGGCTAAAATCTCATACATGCTAAGCTCGTGCTCCACAGCCGAGATACAACCCCAGCCCTTGTTAAACTATATCTTCCCCTGGCTCATCAATCTATTTTTATATGTAAACTTCACAGACATCTTTATCAATATACACAAAGAGGGACATAAAAGAATGCCTGGCAACATTTTGCAGTAAGGTAGTCAGCACCGCTCAGAATGTTAAGCCAGGCATGGAAGGAAGCACACTCCTGTAATCCCAGCATTCAGATGGCTAAGGCAAGATGATCGAAAGTCTTAAGTTTGCTAATAGTTCCCAAGTTTCTCAGGCTGGCCTTAAACTCACACTCCTCCTGGCTCAGCCTTCTCAGTAGCTGGAATCAAAGGCCTGTGCCATCAGATGCAGCTTCTCTGTATGTAACTAGATTCCAAGGCAATTCTGACAAAAAGGGAGGATCTGATATAGACAGTGTATACATAAGGAACTTAATTGTTTTATTTTAAATTTCCTTTGTTGTTATTTTATTTATTATTTTTTGTTTGGGGTTTTTTTGGTCTTTTTGAGACAGGGTCTCCCTGTAGCTCCAGCTGTCCTGGAACTCACTATGTAGACCAGGCTGGCCTTGAACTCAGAGAGTCCACCTGCCTCTGCCTCCCGAGTGCTGGGATTAAAGGCATGTATGTGCCACCACGCCCGGCTTATTTATGTATTTATTTATTTTTTGCAGGTTTTTAATTGGGTTTCCATGGGTTGGGAAGGTAACCTTAGGGCATGCCCCTCCCCACAAGAAATGTCCATTCTAATCCTCCTGAGGTGTTTTCTGGAACTTTCTTTGTCTTTGTTCCACTCTTGTTGCCAGCAGTAGCTTGAGGCTCACTGCTAGCTTGCTCCGCCTTAGAAGAAAATTTCCTTTTTTCCTGGGGACACTCCTGTTTGCTGCCTCTTTGGGGGCCATTTCCTCCTGAGGTACGGACATCTTCCTTTTAGGAGGAAGGCTTGTGCTGGCAGCAGCAGTCTCTTCTGGACCACTAACCAGCGCCTCCTTGGAGAGAGCTTTCTTTTTTTCTTTTAGAGGAAGAAACAGGTGGCTCTTCTTCTATTCCATTTCCTGAGGCACCTCCTGGGGCTTTGTTTTTTTTCTTCTTTTTCGGTTTTTCACATCTCCTCCCATTCCTCTGGAGCACTGCTGTTTTCTAAAGAAGCCAGGGCCAGTGCAGCTAGTCCCTTCTTTTCCTTCTTCAAGCGTTTCTTCTTCTGTTTTTCCAGCTTCCTGGTAATCTCACCAGCCACTTCCTCTGCCTGAACCATTGCTTCCTTCATGACTTCTAGATTTTTCCATGGAATTTCTCCAGTCTCAGAAAGATAACCGCCCCTCAACTTGTTCTCGGAGCTTCTCCCCAAATACACTTGCAGGCACCTCAGAGAAGCAATCAATTTGTGATGCAATACTGCATTTGTTTGCTAGATATTGAGAGATGTGGCCTTTGTTCTTGGCAGCTGCTTGGCCAATGAAGGTGGAATGGAAAATGATTCCATATTTTGGTGTATTACCTCTTGTCTTTAGGTCTCTGGAAGCTTGGTCCCTTTGCTGGGCCCTGGGAATCACTCAGACACTAGGACTAGCCATCACCCTTTGTTATTTATTTTTATGTGTATGAGTACTTTGCCTATATAAGTACACCCATGTCATACAATGCACATGGAGGCCAGAAGAGGCTATTGGATCCCCTGGAACTGGAGTTACAGATAGCTGTTAGATGCCATGTAGGTGCTGGGAACCTGGGTCCTCTGCAAGAACAGCCAGTGCTCTTAACCACTGACCTGCCTCTCCAGTCCCAGCTAACTTTTTTTTTACAAGTTTCAACAAATCAACTCAAAAAATTAATCATTACTGTTAAAACCATCAAATTGTTTTAAATTACATTTATTTATTTATGTGTATGTGCACACACTCCAGGAACCTGTGGAGGTCAGAAGTCAACCAGCTGGTAGGAGTCAGTTCTCTCCTTCAACCACATGGGCCTAGGGATCAAATTCAGGTTGTCAGGCTTGGAGGCAAGCCTGAGCATCTTACTGGCTTGAGATATTTAATTTTTTTTTTTTTTTTGAGATAGGATCTCACTATATTGCCTCAGCTGATTTGAAACTCACTGTGTAGATCTGGCTAGCCTCAAATTCAGAGATCTACCTTCTATCTGCCTCTGCCTCCCTAGTGCTAGGATTAAAGGGCATACCACCATGCCCAGCCTGAGATACTTAATATTTCTTATATACAGTGTATTTGAAGGTAGGCATAGTGCCACATGCCTGTAATCCTGGTACTCAGGAGGCATGAGTTCAAAGCAAGCCTGAGTTACATAGCTGACTCAGTATCAAACAATCAAACCAAAACAGAACAATAAAAAAAAATACATAGTATATTTGAAATAGTTTATAGAAAATAAAAGTTGGGCTAGCAACGGAATTACTTACCATGTTCAACACTTTCTTCAAATATAACACAGGTTCCAAGAGTATCTGTAGAAGAATGTTAAGGGAAATTAGAAAAGACAACAGTACTACCTCTCTGAAAGTGATATAAAAAAGGAGTTTCGGGGGCTGGAGAGATGGTTCAGCGGTTAAGAGCACTGACTGCTCTTGCAGAATACCCGGGTTCAATTCCCAGCACCCACATGGTAGCTACGAACCGTCCCTAACTCCAGTTCCAGGGGAATCCAAAGCCCTCTTTTGACCTCCGAGGCACTGCACGACACAGGCACACTAGCATACATGCAGGCAATACACTCATACAAAACAAAAATAACAAATAAAATATTTAAAAAAAGAAAAGGAATTTCATCTATCAGGTAACTTCCTACCTTCATATTCCCCAGCAAAGACATAGTTGTCCACTTGCAGAATTGGCCTTTCAGTGTCAATTCCCTACAACAGATGAAAGGGTCATAAAATACCATCATTAGAAAATGCCCTTAAGGGCCAGGTGTGATAGCACATGTCTTTAATCCCAGCAATCCCAAGGCAAAGGCAAGTGGATCTCTTTGAGTTCAAGGCCAGCCTGGTCTACATAGTGACAGCTGGGGCTACAGGGAGACCCTGCCTCAAAAAGACCAAAAAAAAAGAAAGAAAAGAAAAATGCCCTTAAGGGATGGCAAAATGGATCAGCAAGTAGGAGTGCTTGCCACTGAGTTTGGTGACCTGAGTTCAATCCCTAGGACCCACATGGTAGATGGAGAAAACTGACTTCCACAAGTTGTCCTCTAACCTCTACATGTGTGCTATGGCACATGCACACTCATACACAAACAAAATCAATGTAATTTAAAAAATAAATGTGGGGCTAGAGAGATGGCTCAGCAGTTAAGAGCACTGACTGCTCTTGCAGAGGACCTGGGCTCGATTCCCAGCACCCACATAGTGGCTAACAACCATCCTTAACTCCAGTTCCAAGGGATTCAACACCCTCTTCTGGTGTCCACAGGCACTGTACACACATAGTGCACTTACATGGCAGTAAAAACACTCATACATGTAAAATAGAAATAAATACATTTAAAAAATTTTTATTTTTATTTTATATGTGTGTACTGCCTGCATGAAGGTTAAGTGCACCTGTGTCATGCAATGCTCGTGGAGGTCAGAAGAGGCCATCTGATCCCATGGGACTGGAATTACGGACAATTGTTAGCTGCCATGTGGGTGTTGGGATCGAACCTGGGTCTTCTATAAGAACAACCGGTGTTAACCACTGAGCCATCTTTCTAGCCCCCAAAATAAATACATTTTTAAAAATAAAAATTTAAAAAAGAAATAAAGGAAATAAAGGAAAATGCCTTTAAATTCTGGGTATAATGGCACACACTGGTAATTCCAGCATTCAAGAGGTAGAGGCAGAAGGATCAGGAGTTTAAAGATAGCACTGACGCCAGGCGTGGTAGCACACACCTTTAATCCCAGCACTTGGGAGGCAGAGGCAGGTGGATCTACATAGTAGGTTCCAGGCCAGCTGGGGCTACAGGGAGACCCTGTCTCAAAAAGACCAGAAAAAAA